AAATGCCTGGCCCAAGAGCAGGGAACCATTTAATGCTGGCCTGGAGACAGAATCCAGGTTATCTCAGGGCCAAAGGTAGTACTTGCTTCACTCCACTAAGCTGCAGTTCTTAGATTATGAGTTAAGAATTCTTTTGGGGTAGCATTGTCTAGCACTTGGGAATTAGGTGGAGGTTGAGATGTTTCTGACTAGTCAGTTGGACAGCATCTATTTCACGTATCCAAAATGTGCACCTGCAGTAGGCTCTTCCCTCTTCTTCTTGGGCTGTAGACTTCCTCCACTGGTCACTTCAAATGTGGTTCCGTAACTATGGCCAATGACGTTATCCAGGTAGAACCACTGTTTTTCGAAAGTTACTTTTCTAGGGAAAAAAAGCAATCAATTAACTGAATATCTTTTGTATTCAGTACAGAAAAGACGTGTTCACTACAGTTTATTTCAAAAGTGGTCTCCACAATGGAGGCTCAGCAGCATTATCTCTGAACATAAAGCAACAAAGGAACTAGGGAGAACCTGGTTGGGATAGAGACATACAATTAATGAATAAGCCACAAGAACACTGAATTTTGGAAAGGGGAAGCAAAGACAGAAGACATTCGTCTTCTGGTGCGCTGGGCTGACCCCAGTTTGCATGTCTACCAGAATGTCCAAACTCGCTGGCTCTGCAGATAGCCTGAATGGTAGACAGGAACCCCAAAATTGCCAGGCCTGGACATACACTGTGACAACTCTTGCAACTTACCCCAGAAAATCTCAAAACTGAACAATCATTGAAGTAACAAGGATTTAACAAATTTCCTGGGCTTGGTCTGATTGGCCATTTTATTTGAAAATTATCTAATAAAAGCAAATTATACTTGCAAATTAACACTGACAATCTACACACTTGGAAATGGAGCCTAACACAGACAATGCTCTACTGAGGACCAGGCAACTTGAGGTTTTCCTATGACACAGATTTTTTATCTTACTGCAATTTAAAAGGGAAATCCCACAGGAACACAATCTTTTCTTCTCAAAAGAAGAAAACTAACATCTGCTGAGTGTCAATCAGGGGCTAGGCAGTGTGTGCTAGGTGTGATTCACACTTTTTGATTTAATTCTCATGGTAATTCTGGGACATAGCTCTTTCCAGAAGAGCAATCCGAGGCCCAGGGAGAAGTATCTTGTCCAAGATTCACAGTTGCAAGGTGTTGTTGGAGCTGGGATTCAAATCCAAATCTGTGTCTAAACCCAAGCCTCATTCTTTTCACTATACCACACGGTCTACTCCAGCAAAGACCTAAGGACCTTAGAAAGCCCACCTAGCTTCGGGACTTGGCCCATGTACATAGATCACTGAATTCTGGGAATCATGTAGTGGTTAATTCTGTTTGTGCCCCATCCCACTCCTTCTCTTCCTCTCTCTGTGCCACCAGAAAGCTGACTATGACAGAATATACTGCCACATCACCCACGCTTCCGTGTCAGAGGCTTACCACCATTGCTGGTCTCTGGGTGTACCACCTTTATTGGTTCCCTAAATCCTGCCACACTTTTGTGTCACATCTTCATTAAAGCTTACTCAAACCATCTGAGGGAAATCCTGTAAGATCATAAGTGATTCAGATATGGCCAATTCTTGTTATTTGCTGGGTCCCTAGATACCTACATACAACAGAATGTAACAGACACTCAAAATATTTGCTAACGTAAACCTCTTCAGATGTTGCAATTCAGCTCAGCCCAGATGTGCACCCCTACCCTCATCCTTCAGTCACCCACGTGCTACTGAAACACCGGATCTGGCCAGGTGTGGTGGGTCACACTTGTAATCCCAGAACTGTGGGAGGCCGAGGCGGGTGGGTCACTTGAGTCCAGGAGTTTGAGACCAGCCTGGCTGACAGGAAAAACTCCGTCTCTACAAAAAATGCAAAAATCAGCTGGGTGTAGTGGCATACCCTTGTAATCCCAGCTACTTAGGAGGCTGAGGCAGGAGTGTCATTTGGGTTCAGGAGTTTCTCTACAAAAAGTACACAAATTAGTTACTGAGGAGGCTGAGGTGGAAGGATTACTTGAGGTGGAAGGATTGCTTGAGCCCAAGAGGCATTGGTTGCAGTGAGCCAAGATCACACCACTACACTCTAGCCTGGGTGACCGAGTGAGATCCCGTCTCAAAAAAGAAATAAACAAACCAAACAAAAATACTGGATCTGAGATAGGTGGGTTTACCTCTCTGCAAGCCTATGTGATATACAGAGGGGATGATGAGTGTCACTTAAAACTGGCTGGTTTGACAGGTCAGGTCACTGCCCCTGGTCAGTAATGTGCGGCCCAGTAAGAGGGATGAGGAGGCCACGTCTTCAGTGGGAAGGAGTAGGATTTGCAGAGTCTACTTTTCTGAGAGCCTGGACTGTTTTTTGCCCAACCAGATGAGTGTAGCCCCAAGGGTGATGAGGGAGTCTGACCTGGGATGCAGTTGAGCTTACAGAGTCATTTTCTAAATAAAATGGAAACTGCCACTATGACTTCTGCGAAGAAGAGGGCCTGATGAAAAGTATTTCCAAATAAATGTTTAGGGCAGTGGTCCCCAACCCTTTTGGCACCACAAAAGGGGAAGGTCAGATGCACTGGTTCATGCCTGTAATCCCAGCATTCTGGGAGGCCGAGGTGGCTGGAATTACTTGAGCCCAGGAATTGGAGACTAGCCTAGATAACATAGTGAAACTCTGTCTCTACAAACAAAATTAATTAATTAGTTTAAAAAAGAAAAAAAAGAAGAAGAATTTAAAAATAGTTAAAGGTTGGTGCAGGAATTACATTTCCGGACTAAAAAAAAAAAAACCACACCCCTCATAAAAGAAACTTTTTTTCTTTACTAAATTAGTGCCTGTGCAAAAAGCTTGGTTATCACCAGCTTAGTGCTCTGGAGACTTGTTTCTTCACTATTTTATGATGCCTGTTTCACCTTAAATACCAATTAACGGTTTGCTTAAACCAGGAGTAAATGAGTTCATCTGAAGTAAGTACTTATCAGAAATTCCAAATCTCATACTTCCTAGTCTGCAGAAAGCTGTTCTCCTGACATTGCACTCAACTTATCTCTGTCAAAAGTAATACAATAATCTAGCTCAAAAGAAACTGTGGCCGGGCGTTGTGGCTCACATCTGTAATCCCAGGACTTTGGGAGGCCGAGGCAAGTGGATCACCTGAGGTCAGGAGTTCGAGATCGGCCTGGCCAACATGGTGAAACTCCATCTCTACTAAAAATACAAAAAAAAAAAAAAAAAAAAAAAATTAGCCGGGCATGGTGGTGGGAGCCTGTAATCCCAGCTACCTGGGAGGCTGAAGCAGGAGAATCGCTTGAACCCAGGAGGCAGAGGTTGCAGTGAAGCGAGATCGCACCATTGCACTCCAGCCTGGGTGACAACAGCGAAATTCCTTCTCCAAAAAAAAAAAAAGAAAAGAAAAAAGAAGAAGAAACTGTGGTTAGCCAGGTGCTGTGGCTCCTGCCTATAATCCCAGCACTTTGGGAGGGTGAGCGGATCACTTCAGGTCAGGAGTTCGAGACAGCATGGCTAACATGGTGAAACTCTGTCTCTACTAAAAATACAAAAATTAGCCGGGCCTGATGGTGCCCGAGTCCCAGCCACTAGGGAGGCTGAGGCAGGAGAATCGCTTGAACCCAGGAGGCAGAGGCTGCAATGAGCTGAGACTGCACTACTGCACTCCAGCCTGGGTGACAGAGCGAGACTCTGTCTCAAAAACAAAAAAAAACTGTGGTTATATTTCTCAGATAAATTAATCCAAATATCCCAATAAATTTTCACCATTAATAAGCTCTTAGGACTTAGCAACCTCACCAGCCCTTTCAGAAAGTTTTCAAAATCCCACTTCTCTACTATTATAAAACAGTGATACTAGTCAGCGGGTGCACAAACCAAACCTAATTTCGAGTTCTGAGGCCTTGAGCAAATTGCTTTTTAGCAATTTTCCCAGCTTTGAATCCTTTGGTGAGTAAAACGAGGGAAACTCAAAGCAATTCCACACTCTATGGTGAATTGTCTCTTTCATCTATTCTATGTATCCTGTTTGGGTAGAGAAGAGGATGGAAAGCCAGACTAGGTAGGAGAGGTTTCATTTTTTTTGTGGGATAGACCCTGACTGAAGGATTAAGGAGGAAGGAAGATCTATGGTGGGAAAAAAGGGGGAACCTTTAGGAGACTCTGGGAGACAAGGATGAGATCCCAGAGTGAAGAAAGGAGGGAGTGTCTGTGGAAAGACAGTGAAGATCCCAAAGTCTTAGGGAAAGAACTTCAGGACAGGTGATTAGGGGTGTGGAGAGGGAGGCCTTGGCACCCTAGGGCCAAGAATGGAATTCTGGGGAAGGAACCCTGTGGAAAGACTGAAAAGGATGCTGAAGGTGGACAGCCAGATATGAAACCATGGAGGGGGCTCTGGGAAAACAGGAAGGTTAGGGGAGATTATGAGGTTCGAGGACGGGATCCTGGTGGAAAAGCCTTCTGTGACAGAAAGATCCGAGGAGACGAGGGCGGGGAATGGGGACCGAGAGAGCCAAGAACTGCACCCTGGCGGGAGAGGTCTGTGGAGAGACCTGGAGGGAGGGGGTATCTACAAGGTGGGGGCGGGAGACCCCTAAAGTCAGCGATCTGACTTACTTTCTCCGCTGGACTTGTACTGCTTTAAACACATCTTCACGTTTCAGCACCACGAAGTCGCCGTCGCGGATGCGGTGGTCTCCGGGATGCTGTGGCTGTGGGCCCGGCTGCTCCCCTGAGCCCTCCATGGCGCTCAGCCGGTCGCCGTGCTCCACGGCGTCTCGCCCCTCCTCCTCGGTTGTAGCCACCGCCAGCCTCACTTCCCACAACCTGGCGCACTAGGAGCCCGCCGACCGGCACCGCCCCCACGTGTTACACGCCGCTTCCGCTTTCCGGTCCAGACCTCAAGACCGCTTCCGGGAGCCTCTCGGCTTCCGTCGGGCCAAACTCTTGATTGGCTGCACTCCGCCCCTCCCCTCCCGTCTTGCCGCTTCTTTGAGCGGAAGTTGGATCATTGAAGCGCCAAAAAAGAATTTAGGGGAACACCTGATTTTCGCTTGAGGCACGATTGCGGCGCTGTACGCTACAGATACTTTCTGGAAGCTGCGGTGGGGAAACTGAGTTTCCCGAGCCGTTGAGAAAGATGGGATTCAGCACCGCGCGGGGACCACAGGAAAGCTGCGGCTGAAGAGAACCGCGGACTTGGCAGGAGCCGCCTGAGGAGCTCAGATCTCGGAGACTCTTAGTCCCGTTGTGCTTCTCTACGGGACGGGGGGAGGGAGAATCCGGCCGGACAGATCTGCGCGTATCCTGGAGCCGGCCCAGTTGTGAACTAGGAGAAGTTTGGGACCTCTGTCCCAAGCAAGTAAGAACTTAGCTTTAGGAGACGTAAATAAAGTAGTAAAGAAGCACAACTACCCAACTGTTATTTTTTACTCGTTCTCCTGTCCTACTTCTTACGTCTTTTGAATTTGTTACAATTCTCAGCGTATTGTCTCGTTTGAGAAGGGTATGGCACACAGCGTTGTTGAAGGAGCGCCTCAGCTTGGGAGCCTGAAAGAGTTTTATCTCTGTATTGTCAACAAACAACTTTGATCTTGATCGGTTTGCTTAATTTCTTTGAGCATTAGTTTCATAATGCGTAATGCCTAGTTAATTATCGGAGCCCTGTCACGCCGTTAAATCGTGAACTTCGTCGTTACTAACTTGTTTTATTAACTAAACCCCTTTTAAGTAAGGATTTGGATAGGTTATTTTATAATGAATTGCAGTGCAGTGTACAGGTATATCTTTATTGTATACTTAGGGTATGAATCATTTTTAAGTAGATTTGTATTTTAAAAGGACGATTTTGGATTTACAGAAAAATTGCACAAAAAGTGGATGTGACACTGCAGGATTGACTGTAAGAAGCTATGATGATGTATCCCTAGTGTCTCACAGGCCAGAATTATGTTCATCCTGTCCTGCCCTATAATAATAAGTCTCAAATACTGCGAATAAGTTTTCGTAGAGTTAATTACCTGTCCTATTTTCATTTCTGTGATGGGTACTTCTTGTAAACAGGTACAGTACCTGTCCTTATTTTTAACCTATGAGCGTCTAGTATACTTAAACCGTATTTAATAGTTATTAAACTATTATGGTATACCTTAAAAAGCGATAGAGATTAGAAACTTAACTTGGGTCTTGTATCACAGGTGCACAACTTTGCAAGCCTGTTTGCTAGTCTTGAACCTAGAATACATTAATTTTTCCTTTTTTATTACATTAATACATTTTTAGGAGCACTTTTCCTTATAGTTTTGGTGAAGACCTTTTTAATATCTGTCTTTTAGGAGAGATGAATAGAGAGTATAGAGGCAGAGGATTTGGACGAGGAAGATTTCAAAGCTGGAAAAGAGGAAGAGGTGGCGGGAACTTCTCAGGAAAATGGAGAGAAAGAGGACACAGACCTGATCTGAGTAAAACCACAGGAAAACATACTTCTGGTAGGTGAGGTCAATGATTGATGAATTTTTTTCACTTAATGAAGGAAGCAATTCGTGTCTATCATACAAGGCGGTTTATCTTATGCTTCGGTTTGTCTTTTATTTCGTGCTACTCCTTAGTAAGTATTTGAACATCGACGTCCCAGATTCTTACTCGAACCTCTAATTTGGATATTCTATTAATGAGAGTCTCATTTGGAAAGAGAAGCACATTGGAAAAATGTTGACTCTGTTTCTACCAACCTAGTATTTTATTTTTTTCAGAACAAACCCCACAGTCTTTGCTTTCAACAAAGACCCCACAGTCAATGCAGTCAACATTGGATCAGCTCATACCATATAAAGGCTGGAAGCTTTATTTCTCTGAAGGTAGGGTTAAAAAAGTGCTAAAAAGCACCATAAATCATATTTTCTTAACTTGTCTTTGGATGCTATATCTTGTATTACTATAATTCACTTACTAACATATACCTGCTTTAATCTTAGTTCACCCAAACAATTAAATGATGTTTATGTTTCAAAAGCATTTTAGACTTTGTATCAGTCAGGAAAGCAGAAACCATACGGATATTTCAAAAAGGGGACTTAATACAAGAAATTGGATACAAAAATGGAAGACTGAAAGAGTAGAAAGGAAATACTGAGGTAACCCCCCAGAAAGTAGTAACTTGAGGAAGCAGCAACCATCCTTATAGCTAAGAGAATAAAAGAAGTTCTGAGATTACCAGAATGTGGGAATTCAAAGGTTGGAGAGGTCACAGCATAGCTGTTATTTTGACTTTTGAGGGGCACCCTACAAACCTATGCTTAGACTTCTGAAGGCTACCTTACAGAGCTGTACTCAGACCACAAGGCAAATGAAGCTGCTTGCCACTGGTAACTGAGGGGGCATGACTCAGTGGTGCTTGGAACTGGAGGCTAGCACTATCGTTATGCAGCTGCAGAGATGCTGAAAAAAATTGCAAACAATAATAAATTCCTTTCTCTCTTCCTGCCACCTTCTGCACTCTAAAGTGCCTTCAACTGGCAGAATTTAAAGAGAATCTGAGACATGTAGGGTACAGATCTGAATTATAGCATCACAGAGCAGAAAGAACTGGGCTTGAAATCAAGGAACAAAAACAAATAGAGCTTTGTGTAGAAACACAGGTAAGGAATCTCCCTTTGATAATTAAGAATACCAGTTAACCTACATCAGTCTGTATAGGTGCAGGGAACTGTCTTTTCTGTGCTCTTAAAATACCCATTTGTTTCTTAGGTCTCATGAGGGATGTGTGTGTGTATACTTTTTTTTTAATCACTAGATTGTTGAGGTCCAGGACCCTCCCGTACCAGGCACTCAGTAGTCATTTTGTGAATGAATAGAATACTTTACAAGTGTTTTCTTTATTGGAAACCTGTTCGCTTTTTTCCTTCAGTAGAATCTGTTTCATGAATGATCTTTTGTTCCTTTGGATGTATTAGTCACCGGCACTCACATTGTTCCCCTGGCAGGTAGCTCAGAACACTATAAGTGATTTTTGGACAGTCCTAAAGATGGAGTTCAAGCAGTGCCTTAGCCTTCACCATCTGTTCTTCCAAACTACTTTATTGTACTGTTCTTCTGTGAGAGACATATTTGAAAATGTAAAAAAAAAAATGCTTTTCAGTTTGGCCACCACAGTCAAGCGTTGTTGGTCTGTCTCCTGATCTCAGGAAAGACTGTGATTGTCTTCAGTTCTGTTTCAGAATAAGAGCTTAGTTTATGTGTCTGGCTTTGACTTTATTGTAATTTTTGGTTTAAGCTTATTGTCTAAATTATTTGAACTAACATGTCCTGTTGGGTGTCAAAGATGCAAAACAAAGTTTCCCAGACAGTGGGGCTTTTAGAGAGAGAAGAGTTTCTGTCTGCATTTCACATTATGCAAACCTAAATTTGTTTTAGAATCTTAAGTTTACATTCTATACCAGTTTTTATATGAATGCAATCAAAATACAAAGCAATTAGAAAAAAATCATCTGCCATGTATATAGGGCTGCTTTTGTCTCATGAAAAATATGCATGTACATGTGTGATTATAGTGCTAATGCCATGTTTGTTGGATTAGTTTACAGCGATAGCTCTCCTTTGATTGAGAAGATTCAAGCATTTGAAAAATTTTTCACAAGGCATATTTATTTGTATGACAAGGTAAGATTCCTCTACAGCAAAGCTGCTAATCGTGTGCCATCTTATCAATGTATTTGAGGTACTTGTGATTATGGTCACAGGCACTGGAGTCAGACTGTGTTGGTTCAGACCTCAGTTCTGCCACTTACTGGCAGTATGGACTTTGATTAAATCAATTACTTCTCTGTGCCTCGGTTTTCTTTCATTTGGAGATAGAGGTATAGATACCTACCTTAAAGGATTGTTGAGAGGCATCAATACATTAATATATTTGAAATATCAGAACCATGCTTGGCACAAAGCTTATACTTATGTGGGACTTACCATTATCACATAGAAACATTGTATGCTTTCTCAAAGTGTATAACAGAATGCTCAGTTAATGGTAATTGACTACAGAAAAGCAATTATTGTTTTCACACTTTCTATTTTATAGGATGAAATAGAAAGAAAGGGAAGTATTTTGGTGGATTTTAAAGAACTGATAAAAGACGATGAAGTAACTAACTTGATACCAGATACAGCAAATGAACTAAGAGATGCACCTGAGAAAACTTTGGCTTGCATGGGTTTGGCAATACATCAGGTAACTATATGTCTTATGCATACTTTTGTCTAAACTTTTTTAACGTTTGCACACACATGCACACCTTGTCTAAGTTTAAAGGAAGATTTTACAGTGACTGTACCTTCTATAAGAGATACTTAGCTTTTACGAAAAGATGTTGGCTAGAATTGAGAGGTTGCAATACCATTCTGAAAGATACCATTCATTCTATATACAACAGCTTATGTAATGAAATATTTACTTCTAACTCATTTGGATTTGCTTAATCTTGCTAAAGATTGTGCAGAAATTAAACCTTCCTTTCAAGAAGTTATACAGTCTCATAGGGAAGATAAGACAAGGAATCATGGTGTTATCAGTTACGATCTTAGAGCAAAAAAGAGCAACCTTAGATTTAGGTTCTGTGGCATGAGGCAAACCACTGAGTGTCCCTGTATGTCAAATGTGAATAACAATTTGTACTGTGCCTGCCTGAGTTTTTTTCAGGGTCAGGTAATACAACATATATGAAAACATTTTAAATTTTTTAAATTTTTTAAATTTATTTTTTATTTATTTTTTTGAGGTGGAGTCTCGCTCTGTTGCCAGGCTGGAGTGCAGTGGCACGATCTCGGCTCACTGCAACCTCTGCCTCCCGGGTTCAAGTGATTCTCTTGCCTCAGCCTCCCAAGTAGCTGGGACTACAGGTGTGCACCACCATGCCCAGCTAAGTTTTGGATTTTTAATAGAGATGGGGTTTCACCATGTTGACCAGGGATGGTCTTGATCTCTTGACCTTGTGATCCACCCGCCTCAGCCGCCCAGAGTGCTAGGATTGCAGGCATGAGCCACCGTGCCCGGCCAAAAACATTTTTGAGGCTAGCAAGCAGATAAATGCTTCAAGGTAATGTGTAGTAAATCTCAGGACAGGCATACACAAAGTGCTGGGGCATTCAGAGGGGCATTCTCCTACCTCTTACATGTGCTATTCATTCAATGTAGAATCCCCTTCCCCTCACATAGATTATTTGGGCCTAGCTCAGTTGTCTCTCTGTAAAACCTTTCTCGTGACAACTTTTCGAAACTTGCATGGTATTTTGTCTGTACATCTTTATGGCTCTTATAACAATTAATAGCTATATATATGCATCTTATTTTGCCTCTTAGGTTGTCAGCAAACTGCGGTACACAAGTGGTATTAAATGTTTGTTTATTTCTTTATTTATTTTGAAATAGAGTTTTGTTCTTGTTGCCCAGGCTGGAGTGCAATGGTGTCATCTTGGCTCACTGCAACCTCTGCCTCCTGGGTTTAAGCGATTCTCCTGCCTCAACCTCCCAAGTAGCTGGGATTATAGGCATGCACCACCACGCTCAGTTGATTTTTGTATTTTTAGTAGAGATGGGGTTTCACCATGTTGGTCGGGCTGGTCTCAAACTCCTGACCTCAGGTGATCCACCCACTTTGGCCTCCCAAAGTGCTGGGATAACAGGTGTGAGCCACCGTGCCCAGCCTGTTTATATTATTTAATGTTAAATGCCAAGGGAGTGAGTATTAGGTATTTTAAAGGTCATTTTTATTTTCTCTGTCTTGACTGATCAGTGAATACAGAGAAACAGGAATGCTTTTTTTTTTTTTTTTTTTAATTAGAATCAAGAGGTGATGGCTTTTAGGACTACTATAAGGGCTTTTAATGTTAGGTTTAGTTGGGACAGAAAGTAGCAGACTGGGATGCTGGAGTTTTTCAGTCCAGGGACAGCAAAATCCAAAGTAAAAGATCCACTATAAAGTAAGTAGTCATAATTAAATATTAGATTTTTAAAGGACTGTTAAAGTTTTCTGTTTTTATTCTGTTTCTGTCCATAAACTTTATATTCTCTATAAAAATAGAGTTCTGTATAAAGAGGATATTTTGTTTTCCAACTTCAGAGTAAACATCTGTCCTGTTTAGGTATTAACTAAGGACCTTGAAAGGCATGCAGCTGAGTTACAAGCCCAGGAAGGATTGTCTAGTGATGGGGAAACAATGGTAAATGTGCCACATATTCATGCAAGGTGAGGAATTTGACATATTAAATTACTATTACTTAGAATGGGACCTTGAAGGCCGTTTAAGAATGAGAACCCTCATTTTATAAGAACAAGGAAATCGGTAAAAAGGACTTGAGTTCCTTGCCATCTCTCTGATCATCACACTGAAGTAAACTCATTGAAAATTATTCAAAGACATCATGACAGATACTTCCTAAATAAGGAAGAAAATGTTGATTTTCTAACCTGCAAATTTTTGTAAACATTGATTTTGGATGTGAACTTATCAAGACCCTGCTGTGTAAGTTTAATAATCCATGTATGGGTTGAGTATCCCTAATCTGAAAATCTGAAATCTGAAATGCTCCAAAATTCAAAACTTTGAGCCCTGACACGACACTGAAAGGAAATGTTCATTGGAGCATTTCAGATTTTTGAATTAGGGATACTCAACTAGTAATATTGCCAATATTTGAAAGTCCAAAAAATCCAAAATACTTCTGGTCCCACACATTTTGGATAAGGGATATACTCAGTCTGTAATATACAAAGTAGTGTGTATTTTCTTCAATTATTAGGTTTCTATTAGATACAAGAGAATAAATGAAATTATTTTGTTTTTCTTGAATTCATCCTTAAGATTTTAAATTCATTAGAAGAATTCATTATAAGTTAATCATCGGAGTTTTGTATTTCTTTTCCAGAATTTATAGAAGGCAATTTCCTAGCAGTTCTTTAAAAAGAACTTAGAAACCCAAAGGTTTTTAAATCTAGATTTTCCTTTTGGCATTATTTTTTTCCTTAAATTTTTTTTTTCTTTTTTCCTTGAGAACAGCCTGTGAGATAAGAAGAAAAAGGAAGATTTAGTGTTGTGTCTTTCTAAGAATGGTTTGGCTGGGCACGGTGGCTCACACCTGTAATCCCAGCACTGGGAGTCTGAGGCAGGCGGATCACTAGGTCAAGAGATCGAGACCATCCTGGCCAACATAGTGAAACCCCATCTCTACTAAAAATACAAAAATTAGCTGGGTGTGGTGGCACGCACCTGTAATCACAGCTACTCGGGAGACTGAGGCAGGAGAATCGCTTGAACCCGGGAGGCAGAGGTTGCAGTGAGCCGAGGTCGCACCACTGCACTCCACCCTGGTGACAGAGCGAGACTCTGTCTCGAGAAAACAAAACAAAACAAGAATGGTTTAATTCTTGTGAGATTTCTGATATATCAAAAGGATGATTTGGTTTGAGAATTCCATAGTTACTCCTAAAAGAAACTTGTGAAAATATAAAACACATCAAGTTTCTGTTTTGTCTTTAGGGTGTACAACTATGAGCCTTTGACACAGCTCAAGAATGTCCGAGCAAATTACTATGGAAAATACATTGCTCTAAGAGGGACAGTGGTTCGTGTCAGTAATATAAAGCCTCTTTGCACCAAGATGGCTTTTCTTTGTGCTGCATGTGGAGAAGTTCAGAGTTTTCCTCTTCCAGATGGAAAATACAGTCTTCCCACAAAGGTAATATGTTCTTGAACTGCTTCTTTATTTATCTTGGTAAAGAAGGCAAATCAGAATACAGAAAACGTTTCCCAGTGTTCCTGAACACAGAGCTTATTTTTATTTTTTACTTTTGATTTTCTGCTTTTATAGTATGAAATACTTCAGGGTAAGAAAAATATAGAAATAAATAAAACATTCCACTACTCGTAACCCCGAATTTACGTTTTTCAGCTCCAAATACATTTTTTAATGATATAAGGCATTACTGGCACAATTAGTGTCTGTGTTTTACCCTTTACCTGTACCATTCCCAGGGATGATCATTATCCTGAAGTTATTATCATATGCATCTCTTCCATTCATATTTCTGTTGACTTCTAGGTATACACACCAAGTTTTTTTTTTTTCCCTTTATTTCTTCTACTATTTAGAAGTGATGGGTTTTTTAAAATCTTTATTAGCCTTTATTAAACTAGATTTTAAAACTATGGAAAAGTGCAGAGAATAGTGTAATTAACGTTTATCTACTCTATGATTTGGCAAATATTAATGTTTTGTTGTTTTAGTTTAATTTGTAACAAAAATATGGTTACATAGTTAAAGTTGAAGTCTCTCTGTTCTCAGTTTTATTCCCTTTATTTGCTCCCCAGATGCAACCACTATTCTGAAATTGGCGTGTGTTCTTCAAGTTTACATTTTTATTCTTGACTATGTATGTAGAGTTAATTTTTTGTATTGCGTTTACGTAAATGGTATACTGAATGTAACATGCAGCTGTTTTTTTACTTGGTTATTTTGAAGTTCTACCTATTTTAATACATATCGAATTCTTTCATTTTTACTGTTGTGGAGTGTTGCTTTAAATAAATAGCCACTATTCATCCATTTTCCTGGAGGTAGACAATTGTGCTCTTTCCAGTTTTTTATAATTACAAATGATACTACAGAGAACATTCTTGTACATGTTTCCTTAGCAGAGGAACACTAAGTTGTAGGCTGCACTTTTTTTTTTTGAGACGGAGTCTTGCTCTGTTGCCCAGGTTGGAGTGCAGTGATGAGATCTCGGCTCACCGCAACCTCCGCCTCCCAGTTCTTCGGCTGGGCGTGGTGGCTTATGCCTGTAATCTCAGCACTTTGGGAGGCCGGGGCGGGCGGATCACCTGAGTTTGGGAGTTCGAGACCAGCCTGACCAACATGGAGAAACCCCATCTCTACTAAAAATACAAAATTAGCCAGGCGTGGTGGCGCATGCCTGTAATCCCAGCTACTCGGGAGGCTGAGGCAGGAGAATCGCTTGAACCCGGGAGGTGGAGGTTGCAGTGAGCCGAGATCATGCCATTGCACTCCAGCCTGGGCAACAAGAGCGAAACTCTGCCTCAATAAATAAATAAATAAATAAATAAATAAGAAGCCCTTTTCACTCAAGCATTATAAACATATTTCCTGCATTTGCTTCTAATAATCCTAAGTTTTGTTTTTTATCTTTAGATCTTTTGTCCATCTGGAATTTAAGGCATTGGTGAATGGCATAAAACTAGGAATTTAAGCTGGGCATGGTGGCATGCACCTGTAGTCCCAACTACTCAGTAGTCTGAGGCAGGAGGATCGCTTGAGCCCTGGAGTTTGAGACTAGCCTGTGCAGCATAGTGAGACCCCCATCTCTTAAAAAAACAAGCTAGTGATCTAATTTTTAGGTGAAAAACTATTTGTCCTGACACCATTTATTAATTAAGTCCTCATTACCATGGATGTATAATGTTTCCTCGGTGGTACCCAGAGTCATCTTTATCACCATTGGGCTTTAATAAATTTAACATTTGCTATATTTTTGCTCATGTAAAGGTTTGAATCCTTAGTGAGGTAAATAATCCCTTGAAGAATTAAAAAGGGAAATGTAAGATGTTTGAAATTCCTAAGGCTTCTTGCTCTTACTGGAAGAAGAGGGTATATGAGATTCAGCTATTGGTTCTGAATAATCAGTGGTGTTGACAGATGGGTTTCATGTGGTGTTTGTCTTGGCTTAAGGTTCAAGGTACAGCCTTGAGCTCAGAGGCCAGAATTCAAATCCTGATTTAAACCAGGTATTTTCTTCCTTTTATTTTGAAGACGGGCTCTCACTCTGTCACCCAAGCTGGAGTACAGTGACATGAATACAGCCCACTGCAGCCTCGACCTCCTTAAATCAGATATTTTCTAGACAGTATTTGTACAGGGTATTTTCATGCTCTCTAATAAAGTAGGTAGTAGCATTGACTCATGAGTGATGTCGTGATGAGGTCCTTCATTTGTCTGACTGTAGGGATTTGAAGTGACAGAAAGATGGCTGTTTCAGTTGATCTCTTTTCCAGCCACTATTGCTGCATAACACATCACCCCAAAACTCAATGGCTGAAAATAAAGTCAATCATTTTATTCTTATGATTCCTGTGGGTCAGGAGTTTGGAAGAACTACTCAACTGGCTAGTTCTAGCTCCAGGCCTCTCATGGAGTTGTAGTCAGATTGTGGCTGGAGTACAGCAAGGTGGCTGGGGACTGGCCAGGCATCCTCTTCTCCATGTGGCTGTGTGGGCTAGTTTGGGCTTCTTGCACACGGTATAGCAGCTCAGGGTGCTCAGTCTGCTTATATGGCTGCTGACAGCTTCAAGGCAAGAAGTCCAGTTGGTAGGCAGAAATGGCCTTGCCTTTTGTGAGCTAATCTCAGAAGTTGTGCAACATCACTCTGTCACATTCTGTTGGTTACAGAGTCAGTCACAAGCCTTCTCAAATTCCAGGAGAAGGAATTAGCCTCCGTTTCTTAATGGAGGAGTAGCAAGGTTCTAAAAAGGTCGAAGAGAAATATTGTTGCAATCATATTTGGCAAGTACAGTCTGCCACAGTCTGAATTTATAAATGCGTCTTGAGATCCAAACACCAAACAAGTGCCTATGTGGTGTAATAAATATTACACTATACAGAAAGTACAAAAGGAGCCTAGATGAGAAAGCTGGGGATTAAAGAAAACTCTGGAAAGCCTTTTGAAAAGGAGAGGATTGGCACTGGGCATGTGGGACAGAATGAGAGGGGGCGTTCAAGGAGCGAGAGGTGGCACGAGCACAGAGGAGCAGTAAGTGCTTCCTGTGGGAGGCAAGGAAAGCACCTTGCATACCCATAGCAGGATAAGAACAGTAAGCGAGAAGGATCAGTTGGAAAGTGCCTCAAAAGCTCTTGATATTAAATTGTTGCAGGAGAAAATAGTCCTTGGATTTTGCTTTACTAGCATCATGAGACCAACTTTTAAAACAATGTTAAATGAAATGTTTTAACTGAATTTTCCTGAGGTGTGATTATAGTTTATCAAAATCTGAATGTGAATTACTTTTGTTTCATTCAGTGTCCTGTGCCTGCATGTCGAGGCAGGTCATTTACTGCTCTCCGCAGCTCTCCTCTCACAGTTACAATGGACTGGCAGTCAATCAAGTAAGCAATCTGTTACATAAAAGGCAGGCTTTAGATGTCACACTGTTGAGTAAATCCTTAATTTTGCTGTATTATATTGTACGTTTTATCTAAACAATGACAAAGTGTATAATAGTGTATAGTAGACGGTTTATTTGATGAAGAGTTTGTATGTTAAAATAATTGTCTTTTTTTTTTTTTTTAAAGAAGGAGTCTTGCTCTGTCGCCCAGGCTGCAGTGCAGTGGCACGATCTTGGCTCACTGCAAGCTCCACCTCCCGGGTTCACACCGTTCTCATGCCTCAGCCTCCCGAGTAGCTGGGACTACAGGCGCCTGCCACCACACCTGGCTAATTTTTTTGTATTTTTAGTAGAGATTTAGTTTAGAGGTTTCACCGTGTTAGCCAGGATAGTCTTGATCTCCTGACCTTGTGATCCGTCCGCCTTAGCCTCCCAAAGTGCTAGGATTACAGGCATGAGCCACCACTCCTGGCTGAAATAATTGTCTTTATTTGAAATTTATTATCTGTCAGATTCCAGAAAGGATTAATTATGCAAATATTATGTCCTACTGAGAAATAGTTGATTTTATATCTCAATTATGTGATTAATTGAACTGGATATAGGCCATAAGCAAAGTTGTATGATTCATTCCATAATAAGCTGTGATAGAAATAATATTGTTTTGAAGTTTTCAGATAAAGACTTCCTTTGAAATGGCATGTTTCATTTTATGTTCTCAATGTTGCAATGGGGCATTTTACTATAGGTTTTTTTAATAGCTTTTTTTATTTTTGCAAGTCAGAGTTTTCTTTGTGTATGTATTTTTCATCCCGTAATTGATTCCGTTTTTTCTAGCTGTAGACCTATAGCTCATCCCTAAATATAAAATAACGAATGGTTTTGAAGTCAGTGCTCTCTAGGAAACCTGGCTGAAATGAGATGGTCCTAAAAACTAAGAACCTAGGGAAAAGATAAGATGGTCTGCTACTAACTGCTTCACCCCCTTCTTCCCTGAAAAATTAAGACCAACATGTGTAATAATTGTACTATAGTGAGATCTTTACAAACACCCCGTTTTATAAGAGGAAATGTTTAAGACTCTTGAGTATGATCGTGTAGCCTATGAGTATAGTAAAGCCTGATTTCCAACCCAGTCTGTGGGACTTTTACCACTTAAGAGGGACAAAGGGTTAGTCTGGAGGTAGTGAGTTATTTCCATTGATTATTCAGAGTCACTTACAGATCAAACTCCTTGTTCTACTCTTTCCTTCCTTCTCACTACTGCACGTGACTTATCTTTAAAAAGTGGTTCTGGGGGGGTGAATTGATGGTGAAGTGGTGAGTGAACTTGGAGCAGGGTTTGAAGTCGTGGAGGTTAGGTGGATGCCAGCATCTGGCCCATGACCTGAAAAACATTGAGAGGTAATCTAGATGTATGATGAATGTATTCCAAAGTTATTATTTTAATGTTCAATGATTGTACTTACATTAATTATTAAGTAAAAAATGCTTTAATGTAATAACATGTACATGTTTTTAAAAATTCAATCAGTGTGGAAAGGCACAGTCCCCACAACTTGCTGTTACATTATACATAACTTTAGATACCATTCTTGCGTGTCTTTCATCCTTCGCTTTACTGCATTCATTCTATGTGAGCTGAGGACTTTAGAAACATACTTGTTCTTTTATCTTCCACTTCTAGACTTTCTCAGTTTCGACATTACTTTAAATTGTCAAGGTTTACCTTTTGTCTTCTAATTGTCTTCCAGACTTTATTTATAGGTCATGTCTAACAACAACAATAAAGCAGGCATTTGCATTTTTATGTTAATAAAAATGCCTGATATGGCATTCCCACAGATAAATAATATGAGCTTCTGACTTCTCCCACTATCTTTTCTACTCCTACTTGCGTCGTCAGTAGTTGAAGCCGGTGCTGAATCTGGCTGTACAGTTAACCCTTTAGCAAGAAACCTAGCACATGCAGAAGTGTCTGTGGATCTGACCATCTTCACGCTCCACTTGGCAGGTGTCTCTTCCATTTTAGGGGCCAATAACTTTATTACCACAATAATTAACATAAAACCTCCAGCTTTGTCCCAATACTGAACACCCCTTTTCGTCTGATAAGTCCTCATTATGGCGGTCTTTCTACTCCTTTCCCTTGCCATTTTATTAACATAAAAAATGTAAATACAGCTCAACAAAGAACCAAGTGAAGTGATCAAATGCCAAGCAAAGGAGATGTAATTTATGTCCCTGGGGTTTGTAGTTTTGTTTTGTTGGTTTTTACCCCTTAAATGAAAATAACCCAAGCATCAAATTATCTTTTCTTATACTCTGCTAGTTATTTGGAATTATCCCACATTTTAGTGTGCATCATATTTGGACTGTAACTTTGCTGTTTAGTACTTTATTTTTCCTAAGGTCTCTGAGTGCTGGTTTTACTTCTTAGAGTATGCCTCTGCCATTTCATCATAATTTTCCATTCTCTCTTAAATATACTATGGAATACATGGAATCCACCTTTTATTCTTAAAAAACAAAAACAAAAAAACACACCTTCCTTCTGCTTGAGTCTGGATCAGTAGTTCTCCAGACCTGCATTCCTGCTTCATCCTGGGATGTTGCTTCATTGCACATTTTGTTTTTCTAAGGAGTATTCTCAGTAAATTTTCAGAAAGTATACATGACAGGTAAAAAGTTCTAAGCCCTTGCATGTCTGAAAATGTCTTTATTTGGATCTTAGTCTGGCTAAGAGTTTGCCAGCTATCGAAGTCTATTTGGTTTTAATTTTCTCTGCTGTTTATGAGAGGTCTGGTGCTGGTCTGATTCTCATTCCTTTGAGGACTGGACTTTTCCTCCTCTTTGTAACCATTTTATCTGTCGTGCTCTGAAACAGTGAAAGTGTATCTAGTTGTCTCTATCCTGCTTGATTGGCAAGGTCTTTTGTCTTCAACTCTAGAATATCTGACTGTTTTCTCAGCTTCCTATCAGAGGCAGTCCTTGGATTATTCATCTGTTTTAAATTGTTCCTCATTCTTTCATTTTCTTTGTGCTGTTTTCTAGATTTCTTTGGCTTTTTCTTATATCTTCTCTACAAATGTTTGATTTTTATATACATACTTTAAATTTTGTTGATTTCGTACTTGTATTCCCATAGTTCCCTTTTTATAGCGGCTTATTCCTGTTTTATGATGGCAATATTTTCTCAAAACTCTTAGGCAGTTTTTTGTTTTTAATGCTCCTGAATTATTGCCATTTAGTTTTCAAATATCTGATGAGGAATGAGAAAGTATTTGAAGTAGGTAGGATAGGTTTCCTTTGCAATTTTTGAGGTAGTAGTGTTTTCTCACAAGACTTCACCTCTGAATACAAAGATAGGGGTTTGGGCTGTCAGATTTTGCTTTATGAATGTGTTTTTGAATTGGAATTGGGTTTCTCAAATGGTAGAATGAAGAGTCTTTGTTCTGAAGCTCTGATATTCTCACTGCACACTTTAGCTCCCTTCACAGAGGAGATGGGTTTGTTTCCTTAGAACAGTGCTCTGGTTTTTGCCAGATGATAAAGTACTCATTCTTCCCCTACCCACTGTCCACTCACCTTCTCCAAAAAGTCTCAACAACTATTGTCTTTCAATTGATAACCCTGTTTTCTTCCAGCCATCCACTCCTGCTCTCCATTCCTGCCACATCCAACTTGGAAGCTCCTCTGGGGCTCTGCTAAGAACATTGGGTCCCACTTTTCTTGTACACTTGTAGCTTTTGCCTATGTGTATTCCAGACTTCATTTTGTTTTATCCGTCAATACTTTACCATTTGCTGTTTTCAAAAATTTCATTAATATCTCATTTTCTGATGATACCTCTACATACCCCCAAATTTTTAGTGACTCATTTTGATGGATATTTTAGAGGGAGGCTAGGCAAATACATACACTCATTCCGCTATCTTGAATTGGAAACTGCTGAAGTAATTTTAGATACACCATTAAACTATTAATAAACAAATCTGCCTTTATCTTGCTCAGCATCATGTGAACTCTGAATAGTTAATGTCTTGCAGAAACCATCCAAAGTCAGTATTCTAACTGAAAACTATTTAAACTTTTTAGAATTCAGGAGTTGATGTCTGATGATCAGAGAGAAGCAGGTCGGATTCCACGAACAATAGAATGTGAGCTTGTTCACGATCTTGTGGATAGCTGTGTCCCAGGAGACACAGTGACTGTTACTGGAGTTGTCAAAGTCTCAAATGCAGAAGAAGGTATGGTACAACTCTTTTCATTATTTGTCTCTCAATAATGATTTGTCAACATTCATCTTTTCTAAGATGCTCCTGAATCTCAAATAATTTGAGGAATTTCTTGTTGCTTACATAAGATGAAACATTCTCTTTAAAAAAAAATTTATTTGTAGCTCACTATGACTTTGTTTTATATCCTAGTTGAGTCATTGTAGAGAAAATGAAAATACCAACTATTGTATTTAAAACTTTTAATTTACAGGTTCTCGAAATAAGAATGACAAGTGTATGTTCCTTTTGTACATTGAAGCAAATTCTATTAGTAATAGCAAAGGACAGAAAACAAAGAGTTCTGAGGATGGGTGTAAGCATGGAATGTTGATGGAGTTCTCACTTAAAGACCTTTATGCCATCCAAGAGATTCAAGCTGAAGAAAACCTGTTTAAACTCATTGTCAAGTATGTACGCTGTCATTTGAAATTTTACTACATACATGCATGTTGGGGGTTCTCTTGGCTACAGGTAACAAAAAACTAGTCAAAATGGTTGGCAAACTACAGTCTATGTACCAAATCCAGTGTACCATCCACTTGAGTGTGGCCTATGAACTAAGAATGGTTTTTATATTTTTTAATGGTTGAAAAAATTTAAAAGAATATTTCACAACACATGAACTTATATGAAATTCAGATTTCATCTGAATGTGGTGGCTCATACCTGTAATGCCAGCACTTTGGGAGGCCGAGGTGGGCGGATCACTTGAGGCCAGGAGTTTGAGACCAGCCTGGCCAACATGGTGAAACCCTGTCTTTACTAAAAATACAAAAATTGGCCGGGCGTGGTGGCAGGCGCCTGTAATCCCAGCTACTTGAGAGGCTGAAGCAGGAGAATCACTTAAACCTGGGAGATGGAGATTGCAGTGAGCCAAGATCGCACCATTGCACTTCAGCCTGGGCAACAAGAGTGAAACTCTGTCTTTAAAAAAAAAGGAAAATCAGATTTCAGTGTCCATAAATAAAGTTTTATTGGAACACAGCCACACTCATTCATTTACATTGTGTGCTGCTTTTGTGCTGCAGTGGCAGAGTTGAGTAGTTGTGACAAAGAACATATACATGGCTCACATATTTTTGCATTGTCCTTTTATAGAAAAAGTTTGCTGATCTCTAGTTTAAACAATACGTAGTATTTACTATCTTACACAAGAAGTTTGTTGCTCAACAGAAGAGTGAGGTGACAGTGACTTCCAAAGCCACTTCAATTAGTTCTGTGTAGGGTGGTGTTCATAGGGATTCAAATAGAAGTAATATATATTCAATAAATATTTGATAATTTTATTTCCATGCTATTGCCATGCCGTGGAGAAGAAGCAAAGTATAGGCATTTTTTGCTTTAGTGGTTAAGAGCTTTTCTTTGGAGACAAACCTAAGTTAGACTCCTGCTTTGGGCATTTACTTCCAGTGTGATCTGGGATACATTACTTAATTTCCCCTTTATTTGTATCACCTTAAAATGGAAATAGTAAGACTTACCTCAGAAGGTTGTTCTAAAGATTAAGTGGCATTTTATAATGTACTTAATTACTGCAACATACTGTTACTTTTGATAATTTTTTGACAATTGTGGGGTAATTTTGAAGAAATAGGAGAAAATGAGAGAGACTGAATAATAGATATATCTAAAAGAAGTGAAAAACTGAGAATGTTTTGAAATACATTGTATTATAAAAAGTGATCTTAGCCAGGCACGGTGGCTCACGCCTGTATTCCCAGCACTTCAGTAGGCTGAGGCGGGTGGATCACCTGAGGTCAGGAGTTTGAGACCAATCAGACCAATATGGTGAAACCCTGTCTCTACTGAAAATGGAAAAATTAGCTGGGCATGATGGCGGGCACCTGTAATCCTTGCTTCTTGGGAGGCTGAGACAGGAGAATCTCTTGAACCTGAGAGGTGGAGGTTGCAGTGATCTGAGATCGTGCCACTGCACTCCAGCCTAGTGACAGAGCAAGACTCTGTCTCATAAAATAAAATAAAATTTAAAAATAGTGATTTTGTCATGCTTTGCTGTTCAGTAGGCTCAGGTCTGTAAGAGGAGTTGATGCTTTTTCTTTCTGGCTTTAATATGTTAATTAGCCGACTGAGTAAAGAATAGTGCTCCACAGGGGCTTTTTGTCCCTAAATCCTACTTCCCTCTGAATAAATAGCCATCCAGACCCACCCTGGAAGAGAGGCTGCTCTAATCTAGGGTTGCTGGGGTAGTCTGGGAGTGAGTCCTTTGAGCAGGTGGCCAAGGAAGCAACCTGGTTGAGAATCCAAACATCTTTGGTTCCTCTTAATGGTTATAAATTAAATTAAAACTGAACATTTTTAGTGGTCCCTCTTCTCCCATATTTATAGAAAAGTATGGAAAACTTTAGTTTTCTTCCCACAGTTTGCTTCCCCCCCTTCCTTTTTGTGATTTCAGCATCGAAACTAGAATTTTTCATGGTCCTCCATTATCAGTCTAGCAGAGATTGGCAAACTAGGCAGGCTGCCTGTTTTTGTAAGTCAAGTTTTATTAAAATACAGCCCCACCCTGTTTACTTACCTTACTGTTCATAGTTGCTTGCAGGTTTACAAGTTGAGTAGTTGTGACTGAGACAGTATAGCCTGCGAAGCTGAAAATACTTACTTCCTGGCCCTTTAAGAAAAAGTTTGTCAACCCAGCCTAGGTGACAGTGGAAGTTTATGTTTTAGTTTAGATTCCTTCAGAAGCAATGATTTGGGTCAACATAGTTTACTTGGGAGGTGATTCTGGAGTTACTGGTAGGGAAATGGGGAGGTGATTGCAGCTAGTGTAGGTGCCTTAACGAACAGGTGAGCCACTAGCATCTGGGACATAATCCTCCTGGGCCAGTGGAACACTCCACTGTGGAAAGCCAGCCTCAATATTTTTCCATTGAAGGGCCTACATTTGGGACTGCCCCCAGGAGTATTAAACACCTCAGCACTTCTGGCCTGTCCATCCTGCCTGCTGATGATGCTTGTGTGGCCATAGAAAGGTCTTTGGCAGACAGGTGCAGGTGCCAGTAGGAAGTCGGAACATACTGAACAGTGAGTGCCAAGGGGATACGAGCACACTACCACTTCCTTCTGTGTTTACATATATTAAAAGGGAATAAAGACTCACATTTTACTCCTGGTTTTCTCTCCCACCCTATTTTTGTTTGTTCCTTGTTTATAAATTGACAAATATAAATGTACTGCTTTATACTCTTTTTCTTTTTTGAATTTTTTTTTTAGAGACAGGGTCTTGCTGTGTTGCCTAGGCTGGATTGCAGTGGCACAATCATAGCTCACTGTAGCTTCAAACTCCTGGCCTCAAGTTATTCTCCCACCTCAGCCTCACAAGTAGCTGGGACTAAAGGTGTGTGCCACCACGCCTGGCTAATTTTTAATTTTTTTTTTGTAGATATTGGGGTCTCACTTTGTTGCACAGGCTAGTTTTGCACTTTTGGGCTGAAGCAGTCCTCCCACCTTGGCCTCCCAGAGTGCATGCTGGGATTACAGGCATGAACCTGTAAACCAAAAATAAAATTCTAAGGCCCCCCCCACCCATTTCAACAGACTTCCTCCTCAGCCAGGGCTTTCAAGATATAACCTGAAAGACTGATTCAGACCACGAAGGGAAGTGGGGGTCAGACATGCCTTATACCTCTCTGGCATTAACATCAACACAGATTTTAAGTCTGATAAGAAACATTTTACAGCCTGTTCTCTCTCAAACCTGCTAGCTAAAAGCTTCATCTGCATGATAAAACTTTGGTCTCTACAACCTCTTGCAACCCAAACATTCCTTTCTGTTGATCCCAGGTCTTTAGACAAACTCAACCAATTGTCAACCAGAAAATGTTTAGATTTACCTGTAGCCTGGAGGCCTGTGCTTTGAGTTATCCCACCTTTCTGAACTTTCTGGTTCTACAAATCACTGCACCCCGCCTCATTTTCTTATTTAATTTGACCTTTTGACTTGAACTGAAAAAAAGGAAATTTTACTGCATCTTAGACTATTATATACTGAGTTCACTTCTTAGTCTCCTGTCAATGTCTTGGCTTCACAGTCTTAAGATGTCTATTCACATAAAATACAATATAATCCTGTATCCTAAAATGGAAGACCATGATTGTGATGCATTTTAAGACCAGTTGTACAAGAAGAGCAACATTGTATTTGGTTACTTTAAGATGCTTTGCAAGTATCCTCTTTTCCTTATCCAGGCAGAGTTTTTTTAAAACATTCTAACCTTTATAGATTAACCAAGAATTTTGAGAAATTTACTGTAAGAATAAAATTTGAGTTGAGGGGATGTAAATTTTTTACATTTGTCTTTGTTGATATTAAGCAAGTTAAATTGTAAAGGAGATCTAATGGATCAATGAAGTATAAATTAGAATTTATAAGTTGTGTTCTGTTTTTCAGCTCGCTTTGCCCTGTCATTTTTGGTCATGAAGTAAGTATTTTACTTCGTCTTTACTCAAAAAGTATACAAAGTTAGCAAAAATAACATATAAAGACTTTCCAGAAAGTAGCAAATTTCTATTGGCCAGTTATTTATATTTTAACATGAATCTTTATTTGTAAACTAATAATATGGGAGGCAAGCAAACTATAGCTCCTTTATTTTTATTTTTTTATTTTTTGAGACAGGGTTTCGCTTTGTGACCCAGGCTAGAGTGTGATGGCGCAGTCGTAGCTCACTGCAGCCTCGAGCTTTGGGGCTCAGGTCATCCTCCTGACCTCAGCCTCCTTAGTAGCTGGGACTACAGGCGTCCTCCACCATGTGCAGCTACTTTTTTTGTATTTTTTGTAGAGATGGGATTTTGCCATGTTGCCCAGGCTGGTCTCTTAAGTCCTGGCCTCAAGTGATCCACCCAATTTAGCCTCCAAAGTACTGGGATTGTAGGTGTCAGCCGTATAGCTCCTTTTAAGAAAAAACTTTTACCAACTAGAGTAAATATAAATGGACTTTTATTTTATTTATTTATTTATTTTGAGACGGAGTCTTGCTCTGTCGCCCAGGCTGGAGGGCAGTGGTGCGATCTCGGCTCACTGCAACCTCCATCTCCCAAGTTCAAACAGTTCTCCCACCTCAGCCTGCCAAGTAGCTGGGACTACAGGCACGTGCCACCACACCCAGCTACTTTTGGTAAGAAATGGGCTTTTAAAGTGACTAGACACTGCCAGTATTAAAGCAGAAAAAAAAATATTTCTCGTTTTTGTGGAATGGATTTATGCCTTGCAAGGTAGGGCTTAGTAATTTCTAAGATACCTCTCTGATTTTGTATGCTTTCAAGTTTTTACTTTTTAATCATTTACATGATAGAAGTTTGTTTTTAGACCTCCTTTTCTTAGAAAAAAATTAACATTCAATCAGGCAATTAAAGCAATCCCCAAACAAATCAATGTTATAGAAGGAGGGGAGTACCTTCTTTACTAGTCATCTTTATGTTTTCCTTACTTTTGTTTTTTGTTCTTTTTTTCGCACTTGAGCTTGTTAAAGCAGGTTTGGCATTAGCACTCTTTGGAGGAAGCCAGAAATTTGCAGATGACAAAAACAGAATTCCAATTCGAGGAGACCCACACATCCTTGTTGTTGGAGATCCAGGCCTAGGAAAAAGTCAGATGCTACAGGTAGAAAATCAGTCATTTAGTGTTTGTTCTTTTGCTTGTAAAATGCATTAATAATTCACAAGTGAATTTTCTCAAAGCGTGTACTGTGTGTGTTCCAGAGGACATGGTTAGGTGGCATAAGTGAATTGGAGTTTGTGTGAGTAATATGTAACTTATATCTGACCATATTTTTGAATTGAGCCAGTCTCCTGTTACATAGGCTGTACAAACATCCTGGTCTGTTGAGACATCAACTATTAGGAAATATTAACCGTTTCTCTAACCATTGTTTTGCTAGTCTTTGTCGTTGTTATGTGACCTCACCTATGAACAGAATAGTTCAAGGGAGTTAAAACAGGGTCACCTATTCTCCCTCGTACAAGCACATAAACACTGTATTGGGCTTTAAGAACAGTCTGCTAAGCAACTTTTGTTTTTGTTTGTTTTTTTTTTTTTTTTTTTTTTTTGGAGACAGAGTCATACTCTGTTGCCCAGGCTGGAGTGCAGTGGTGTGATCTGGGCTCACTGCAACCTCCGCCTCCCACTTTCAAGCAATCCCTGTGCCACAGCCTCCTGAGTAGCTGGGATTATAGGTGTGCACCACCACGCCCAGCTAATTTTTGTATTTTCAGAAGAGACGGAGTTTTGCTCTGTTGGCCAGGTTGGTCTTGAACTCCCGGCCTCAAGTGATCCACCCACCTCAACCTCCCAAAGTGCTGGGATTATAGGTATGAGCCACCACGCCCAGCCCAAAGCAAGGCAAATGACTGTGACCAGTCATTTGTAGATCCCCAAGAGGATTCTGCCTCTGCCAGTCAGAGCCTAGTGGTTTTCCTTTCTTGGGTTTTATGATGGCTCTAGAAGGTGCTGCTTATTGGTATGCTTGTAGTTTCCTTAAAGTGATGCCCAGTAAGCCAGCCGTAATGTGCTTTCTACTTTTATTTTTTTGAGACAAGGGCTCCCTCTTTTGCCCAGACTGAAGTGCAGTGGTGTAGTTTTGCTTACTGCAGCCTCCACCTTGGGCTTAGGCAATCCTTCCAACTCAGACTCTCAAGTAGCTGGGACTACAGGCATGCACCACCATGCCTGGCTAATGCTTTTTTTGTAGAGATGGGGTTTTGCCATGTTGCCCAGGCTGGTCTCAAACTCCTGGGCTCAAGCAGATCCGCCTGCCTCAGCCTTCCAAAGTGCTGGGATTACAGGTGTGAGCCACTGCGCTCAGCCAGTGTACTTTCTAAAAATGCCTGGGACCCCTTTCTTCACTCGATGTGGAAAATTGACCAGGGCTTCTCTGGCCCTTTTGTAAGTTGTAGTAGTGTGGCTCCTAAATCTTTGTCCAAGGATTGGGACCTGGCTGTATATCTTAATTACCTTTGGAGCTCTTTGAAAATACCATAGCCCACTGCAAGCCAATTGAGTTCAGAATTTCCATGTTAGAGTCCTAGTGTCTATATGTGTACAACAGTCCACAGATGATTCTAATATGCAGCCAGGCTTGCGAACTGCTTTGATCTTGTCATTACCCTATAAACCCACTTTCCTTCATATCTGAGTTATCCTTTATTGCTTGTGGTTGAGTGTTAAACCAGTCATTTTAATTCCTACTATGACATTTCATCTATGTTTGGTTCCTTTTGGCCAGCTGGGGCTACTTTTTAAAAAATAAATTCTGCTCTGAGACCTCGCTACAATGTAGCCTGACAACAGAGGCTCAGGGTACCCCTTATAGGTGAAACAAAGCTCATAATGAACAAGAATCTGGGTGCAGTGGCTTACGCCTGTAATCCTAACACTTTGGGAGGCCGAGTCGGAAGGATTACTTGAGGCCTGGAGTTCAAGACCAGCCTGGGCAACAAAGTGAGACCCTATCTCTACAAAAAATAAAATAATTAGCTGGGCATGGTAGCGCACACCTGTAGTCCCTGCTACTCCGGAGGCTGCAGCAGGAGGATTGCTTGAGCCTAGGAGTTGGAGAATGCCGGGAGCCATGGTTGTGCAACTGCACCCCAGCCTGGGCAATAGAGCAAGACCTTGTCTTAAAAAAAAAGGGGGGGGGGGGGGGATCACAAGGTCAGGAGTTCGAGACCAGCCTGACCAACATGGTGAAATCCCGTCTCTACTAAAAACACAAAAACTAGCTGGGCGTGGTGGCGGGCGCCTGTAATCCCAGCTCCTCAGGAGGCTGAGGCAGGAGAATCACTTGAACCCGAGAGGTGGAGGTTGCAGTGAGCCCAGACTGTGCCACTACACTCCAGCCTGGGAAACAGAGCAAGACTCTGTCTCAAAAAAAAAAAAAAGAAAAGAAAAGAAAACAGTATATTTAGAATATGTCGGAAAAGATGCATGTGGGGATCTGAATTGTTACAACTTTTTTTTCTGTCTTTTGTGGTGGTGTACACGTGTGTGTGTGTAACTTTGGAATTAGTGAATTATAGGTGGGAGCCTGCTTTAACCCCTGGAGTGTCTTATCTGTACACATCTCATAATTTATACATGTTGTTTGCAGTATATAAAACTTCCTTTTTTTGCTCTTTTTTTTTTTTTTTTCCCAATGTTTCTTGGCAGATAGTTGTTCTAAAATATATGTAGTGGTATTGAAAGTGTTAATACCAAGAAGTTACACTGGCAGTTTTTCTTGTTTTTCAGACCTGGAATAATGCTTTTGGCTCAATTTAAAAATAGAATCTGTAATATTAGTGGAAATTAAACATTCTGAATAGCATAGAGTATGACATCTAAGCCACACTAAGCCAGGGTTTTTAAAAACGAGACTAACAGGCTGGGTGCAGTGGCTCATGCCTGTAATCTCAACACTTTGGGAGGCTGAGGCAGGAGGACCAAGCTGGACAATATAGTGAGATCCCGTCTTTAAAAACAATTTAAAAAAAATTAGGTGTGATGGCATGTGCCTATAGTCCCAGCTACTCAGGAGGCTGAAGTGGGAGAATCACTTGAGCCTAGAAGTTTTAGACCAGCCTGGGCAACATAGGGAGACCTTGTTTCTACAAAAAATTAATTAGTCAGTCACGGTGGCATGCTCCTGTAGTCCCAGCTACTAGGGAAGTTGAGGCAGGACGATCACTTGAGCCCCGGAGTTCAAGGTTGCTGTGAGTTAGGATTGTGCCACTGCACTCCAGCCTGGACAACAGAGTAAGACCCTGTCTTAAAAATAATAAATAAATAAATAAATATAACAAAACAAAATAAAAATTAGGCTAACACCAACCGTTGTGAACCATTTACTTTGTATTTTTAATTGTGTTTTCTTCTGATTACCTAGTAAATCATGATATTCTGTGTGTTATAAGGTTTCTCAGAAAGACTATGTAAGTAACAAAAATAATGGTAATTACTATTTATTGAGCCAGCAGCATAAGATAACAGTGGGTGTTTGAGATGTGAATACTATCTCAGCTTTCTGCAACCTCTGCCTTCCAGGTTCAAGCCGTTCAAGCCTTATGTGCCAGGTACTAAATCAAGTGCCTTGCATACATGATTTCATTTATTGTTCAGGGCAATGCTGTGATAAAACATAAGGAAGCTGAGGCTCAGAGAGGTCAGAGAGCCACACAGCTGGTGCATGGTGGAGCCACGATTTAAACACATCTGCCTGACTGCAGAGAGCTATGCTTTTAACTCTTGTGCTGTTTACTTTTCTGGCCTGTTATAGCATGTTTGCTCAGAAGGTGAGCATGTATTAAGCCATTTTATTACCTGATGTTTAAAGAAGCATTGGAACCTTCAAAATTAAAATTGGTACTCATGTTTTTGTTTTTCGAACTAGAAAATGAAGGATAAATTAGAATTGTGTTGAGTATTTATATGACCACAGACTTCAGAATCTGACTGCCTGGGTTTGATTGAATCCTGACTTTCCACTTTCATAGCTGTGTAGTTCCTCATTCACTCTTTGTTGGCCTTGGTTTTGACATCAGTAAATCAAGATATAATAATACCTTTCTCTGATGGTGATGGTGCACCTTGTACAGTAAAGCTCTTAAAAGAATACCTAGCATGTACCTAACGTCTGTGAACAACTGCTGTTAGCTATTACTTCCCTTTTACTTTGGATGATTCCCTTAAACTTTTTGTTTCCTTAGGCAGCATGCAATGTTGCTCCACGTGGCGTGTATGTTTGTGGTAACACCACGACCACCTCTGGTCTGACGGTAACTCTTTCAAAAGATAGTTCCTCTGGAGATTTTGCTTTGGAAGCTGGTGCCCTGGTACTTGGTGATCAAGGTGAGAAACCAAAGGGAATAACTAGTGATTCTGGTACTTCTTAAAAAGCCTTTTCCTTTTCAGTTAATTTCTTTACATTCTGTTTAAGAGACATATAGATAGCACAGTCCTAACCAGTAAGTTGACACTGTCAGAAATAATCATTGGAAATGCAGTATCATCATTTTTATACTACAGAATTGAAACTGTACTTAATGTCATTCATTTTCAGAATCTTATAGCAGATACAAGTATATGTAAAAATCAAATAAATATGTATAGTTCCCTACCCATCCCATTTCATACCACTTGTCACGTTTGTGATCTTTTTTTCTAAAGCCTGTTTTGAAGCTTTATAGTAAGCTCCCTGTAGGATGGGATTTGGACGTCTTGTTGACTGCCATGTTCCCATTGCCTAGTACATAGGGGCATAGTAAATACTTGTTGAATGCATTACTATTATTTAGCTCTAGGCCGGGCGCGGTGGCTCAAGCCTGTAATCCCAGCACTTTGGGAGGCCAAGACGGGCGGATCACGAGGTCAGGAGATCGAGACCATCCTGGTTAATATGGTGAAACCCCGTCTCTACTAAAAAGTACAAAAAACTAGCCAGGCGAGGTGGCGGGCGCCTGTAGTCCCACCTACTCGGGAGGCTGAGGCAGGAGAATGGCGTGAACCCGGGAGGCGGAGCTTGCAGTGAGCTGAGATCTGGCCACTGCACTCCAGCCTGGGCGACAGAGCGAGACTCCGTCTCAAAAAAAAAAAAAAAAAAAAAAATTAGATTATGTTACTCTTTTGCTCACAACCCTCCAGTAACTGCCCATCTCGCTCAGAGTGAAAGCCAAAGTCTTGAGAGTGGTCCAGGGCCATTCATGTTCTGGCGTTTCACCTCTTTTGCCTCCTTATCTGCTGCTTCCCATGTTTCGTCTTCTCTAGCTCCACTGGCGGCTCTACCTTGGACACCACCAGCACACCAGGCAGGTCACATTTCCTCATAAGGGCGTTTGTACTTGCTGTTCCGTTTGCCTGGAATGTTCTTACCCCAGATAGAGCTGCAAAGGCTTGTTTTCTTTCCCCCTTCATGTTTTGCTCAACTGTCCTGATCCCAGTGAGGCCTTCCCTAAATACTGTATTTTAACTTATAACCTCTCCTGCCCTGCTGCCACCTTAGCAGACCTTATTTTCCTTACCCTAATCTACTTTTTCCTTCCATAGCACTTTTTACCTTCTATATTATTTACTTTTTTATTGCCTACCCCCCGTATTGGCTGAGTAGAACGTAAGCTTCACAGGAGCAGGGAATTTTGTCTTTTCACTGCCATACCCGGCATGCCTAGAACATAGTACTTTTATATAGAAGGCATTCAGTTTATTGAATTTATACGTTTATTGCATTTATATCCAGTAAATATTTGCTGAATAAATAAATACCAAAAACATGTATCTGGTTATTATATAGCTCATCAGAAGTGAGAATATCTTTGCTAAGTACCAGGTAAAATATAGTAATAAAAAGATGATACTCATGAAACTATGCAACTTTTCATTAACTAGAAGTAGAAGGTGATTTGGAGGTTTTTAAAAAAAAATTTTAATGCCAGTACTTTGGGAGGCCAAGGCGGGCGGAGCACTTGAGACCATGAGTTTGAGACCAGCCTGGCCAACATGGCAAAATCCCATCTCTACTAAAAATACAAAAATTAGCTGGGTGAAGTGGCACATGCCTATAATCCCTGCTGCTCAGGTGGCTGAGGCACAAGAATCGCTTGAACCAAGGACATGGAGGTTGCAGTGAGACATGATGGTGCCACTGTACTCCAGCCTTGGTAACAGAACGAAACTCTGTCTCTCAAAAGAAAAAAAAAAGTTCAAAGTTTATGTTTTATGCTTTAAAACAAGGGGTCAGTAAACTTTGGTCTATAGGTCAAACCAGCCAGCAGCCTGTTTTAGTACAGTCCACAAGCTAAAACTGGCTTTTATATTTTTAAAAGATTGTAAAGTACAAACAAACAAACAGAAAAGCCCAAGAATATGTAAGATTGTGCATGGCCTGTGAAACTTAAAATATGTACTTCTGCATCTTTGCAGAAAAGGCTTGCCAGCTCCTGCTTTCCACTTTGAACAGTGACAGCCAGAGTAGGGAGTAGCTTGACTTTGTTCCTACCCCATCCCCATCTCTGAGGAACTGTATTAGCAATCTTGATGATTTCCAGTAATACCGTGAATCCAGAGAGGTATAGGCAGACAGAGCAATAGACAGCCCAGGGAAAGGTGGAGATAAAGCCTATGAGTATACCACTGCTAGGATCTTAGCACAGGCAGGGAAGGCTCACTATGTCCCAGAGCTCCACACTGAACAGCAGGAACAGGCTAATGCACTGGGATCCCCTGCCATGAATATGGGACACATTCCCAACAGAGGGGGGTAAACCCTCAGAAGAGAGATCAGCAAGAAAAGTGGCACAAAGTTCAACAAAGCCCCCCCTTGCTTCCCCCTCCTAAATCATTTAGGTTACCGAAAAGTGCAAACTGTAGCTGGAAAGGAAAAAATGGGACGAAATTACATTGGGAAAAGAGTATTGACAAGAATTCATGTATACTGTGTTGGAAAAAATAGGTTTGGACAGAGCAGCCATTGTTATACATGAGCAAGATAAAGAGACAGCATAGCAGCTATGAAGAAATAACGTAGGAAGAAAGAAAGACATTTAATATGCCCAATAAAAGACCTCACTCTAGACAAAATTATAATCTAAGGAACAAATGAAAATTTCCCGTGTTTCATGTTTGATAAGAACATAAATTTAATGAAATAGCTCAAAACAAAAAGATAAGGATGTGAGAGACAAATTGATGACTAACAATGTTATTAAACTAATATGTAAAATTGACACTGCTGAATGAGAAATTATAAAGAGGAGAGGCTTGAGATAATCACAGTGAATGCAAAAGAACAAAGCTTAATGCAATTAGAGGGGAAGTAACAGAGAGAACAAAGGAAATTCAACATAATTGGTTCTGTGAAGTAGAAAACCCAAACATGAAACCAGAAATGGATTCAAGGATAGAATAAAATCTGTTGAAATAAACTAAAGGCACTGAATATACCAAGAATGTCACGTCTATTGCACAAGTTATTGGGGACTCTCTAACATTATCTTGTATTATTTGTCTTCCCTGCTCCCCATACCAGTTAGGTTAGCAGCTGGGGTCAAAAAGACTAATCAGCAGTTATTTTCCATATACTCCTCTGTGCTAGCAAGGCTTACTTGGGTGTAGAGTAGATACGGAGGAGTTTAACCACAGCAAAGCCCTTCAGATGTGACCCCCAGATACTAACCTAACTGGTATGGGGAGAAAGGAAGACAAATATTACAAGGTAATGTTAGAGAATCTCCAATAACTTAATGCAATAGACATGACATTCCTGGTACATACAGTGCCTTTAGTTAGTGGTGGTGCATTGTATTATGTTTAAAGAGGTTAAGTGATTTCCCTATAAGTGCATAGAAGTGTGTAGATAATACCTGGTATAGGTTTTGAAATATACTTATTAAACATAATAAACTTATTATATGTGTTTTGAAGTATACTTAATAAAGTGTGTGTGTGTGTGTGTGTGTAAAATCTCACCCGTTTGAATTTAAGTACTTAAACGTTTTGAGGGTTACTCTTACCTCCTCTTCATTTTTGTAATCCTCACAACACAGTGCCTTGCATATGAAAAATGCTAAAGGAATAACTATTACAGAAAACATAGTTAAATAAGACAAATGTGTTACTTGTGGTGAAACAAACAGTAATTCTCCATTGTATGACATTTTATAATTTTAACTGCTGAAACAAATGGCAATAATTATTGTCAAACAATTTCTATCCTATAAAATTTGGAACTCAACCAAAGAAAAAATGTTTTTGTCTGCATTATTCTACTTTGATTGTAGGTATTTGTGGAATCGATGAATTTGATAAGATGGGGAATCAACATCAAGCCTTGTTGGAAGCCATGGAGCAGCAAAGTATTAGTCTGGCTAAGGCTGGTGTGGTTTGTAGCCTTCCTGCAAGAACTTCCATTATTGCTGCTGCAAATCCAGTTGGAGGACATTACAATAAAGCCAAAACAGTTTCTGAGAATTTAAAGTAAGTCTCTTCAAATATTTAGACCTTTAATATATTGAATCACTCTAATTCAATAAGAAAAAGAAATAGTTCACAGAACTATATGGGAAATACATGGATAGTTCACAGTAGTTACAGATGTCCAATAAATGCACAAAAATGTGCTTAAACACTGCAAAGTAAAACAATGAAGTACCAGTGAGATCCACCAGATTGGCAAACATTTTAAATATTAATCATTATCGGCAAAGTAGTGTGGAAATGGTTTCTCACTGGCTGGGCGGGTGACTCACGCCTGTAATTCCAGCACTTTGGGAGGCTGAGGCGGTTGGATCACCTGAAGTCAGGAGTTTGAGACCAGCCTGGCCAACATGGCAAAAACCCGTCTCTAGTAAAAATACAAAAATTAGCCAGTCGTGATGGCAGCCGCCTGTAATCTCAGCTACTTGGGAGGCTGAGGCAGAATTGCTTGAACCCGGGAGGTGGAGGTTGCAGTGAGCTGAGATTGTGCTACCACACTCCAGCCTGGGTGACAAGAGTGAGACTCCATGTCAAAGAAAAAAAAAGAAATTGTTTCTCACATACACAATTTATTATTTTGAAGGACCCCTTGGTATGTTAATCACAATTCTAAATGCACATTCTGTTTGTTATAGCCACTCTACTTTTAGGACTACTGTTCACAGAAATAGTCATACAAGTGCACAATGATAGGTTTATAGCATGGTATTGCAGCATTATTGCTGCCAAAAATTGGAAACACCTTAAAACTATAGTAAGACTGTAGTGATTATGAGAACAAAAATGGCTTTGTATGTACTAATGGGGGAACATGTCTGTGCTGTACTATTAAGTGAGAAGAGCACATTAACATACTTAAATATGTGGTGTGATCCCGCTTTTTTCAAAAACAATGTTTATATCTGTGTTTTCTCTTCTAATTCATTCTGTACCCCTTGGACAAAATGTGTGGAAAAGGAAAAATAAGTGATACAAAAGTGAGAAAAAGACAAAAGAGTGCCTCCTAAAAAATTAGAGCCTTAAGCCTAGTGGGAGTGGAGTTAATTTCCTGTTGTTTAATAATATATCAATATAGAAACAGTGTTTGATACATAGTGAAATACACAATTTGTACTTGGAGATTTAGGGTATTTACCACCACCACCAAAAAAGTCGACCTACTAGTAGTTTTCCTTTAGTAAACTGACAAAGTGCTATATTAGAAAAATCAGAAAGATCTATTGAACAAAAATCCAGGGGACTTAGATTTTGTTTTTTAATGGTATCATGAACAAAATACTGAACTAGCTAACCTCTGATATGTCATGTAGCAGTATTGCTAATTAGTGATAATAGGACATAAAGAATTCAGTGGGTTTGGTGGTGTGAGAAAGGGCCATGTCCTCAATCTACCCAGGGTAGATACATGTAATTCTTGTGCCCATGTTGCAGTGGGTGGATACATCAAATCCAGGAAGCTATTTGCTTATTTCTTTAACCTAAATCTTGGTTTTTCAAGTTCTGCATGGAACTTGAGTAGTAAACAAGTGAGTAAACAATTTTCTTGTTTTTCCTTTTGATTCCAATCATTGTTTCTTCTTTCTTTCATGCTTCGTAGAATGGGGAGTGCACTACTATCCAGATTTGATTTGGTCTTTATCCTGTTAGATACTCCAAATGAGCATCATGATCACTTACTCTCTGAACATGTGATTGCAATAAGAGCTGGAAAGCAGAGAACCATTAGCAGTGTCACAGTAGCTCGTACGAATAGTCAAGATTCAAATACTTCGGTACTTGAAGTAGTTTCTGAGAAACCATTATCAGAAAGACTAAAGGTATAAATGTTTCTTCTCCTTATTCAGTTTGGTTCTGTTTGAAAGTCAAAGTTCAGTGTGTGGCTTATTGTAGAGCAGGATATAAACTTTTTTAATCAGAACTTTTTAATATTTCAATACTAGAGTTTATGTAAACTTCATTTGAAATAATCTAAGTCAGCCTGGCGCAGTGGCTCATACCTGTAATCCCGGCACTGTGGGAGGCCGAGGCAGGCAGATCACGAGGTCAAGAGATCAAGACCATCCTGGCCAACATGATGAAACCCTGTCTCTACTAAAAATACAAAAATCAGCTGGGTGTAGTGGCGTGTGCCTGTAACCCCAGCTACTCAGGAGGCTGAGGCAGGAGAATTGCTTGAACCTGGTAGGCAGAGGTTGCAGCAAGCTGAGATCACGCACTTCAGCCTGGTGACAAAGCGAGACCCCGTCTCAAAAAAAAAAAAAAAAAAGGAATCTAAGTCAGATAAAGTGTTTGGTTGATTTGGAGAGTCTTTTAGAATTGTGTATTTGTCTAAACAAGTTACTTATGTATTTTGAGACATAGTCTTACTCTGTCGCCCAGGCTGGAGTGCAGTGGTGTGATCTCGGCTCACTGCAACGTCCATCTCCCGGGTTCAAGAGATTCTCCTGCCTCAGTCTCCCAAGTAGCTGGGACTGCAGGCGCGTGCCACTACACCCGGCTAATTTTTGTATTTTTAGTAGAGATGGGGTTTTGCTGTGTTGGCCAGGCTGGTCTTGAACTCCTGACCTCAGGTGATGTGTCTTCCTTGGCCTCCCAAAGTGCAGGGACTACAGGCGTGAGCCACTGCACCTGGCCTAAACAAGTTATTTTAGCAGAAAGATTTTATTTGCCACTTATCTTTGTTATCTTGGGCCTTTTAATCATGCTTCAGGTGGTTCCTGGAGAAACAATAGATCCCATTCCCCACCAGCTATTGAGAAAGTACATTGGCTATGCTCGACAGTATGTGTACCCAAGGCTATCCAAAGAAGCTGCTCAAGTTCTTCAAGATTTTTACCTTGAGCTCCGGAAACAGAGCCAGAGGTTAAATAGCTCACCAATCACTACCAGGCAGCTGGAATCTTTGATTCGTCTGACAGAGGTTTGTTTCTTTTTATGGTCATGCTTTTTTGGCTTAAAGGGGAAGGGTGTGCCTTGACTTCTCTTTTGAAGTATTGTCTGCATAACTGACTCCGTTTTTCTTTCTATTGAGAGACGTTAGAAATGGATGGATGAAAGTTTTTAAAAAGATTTTGTCATGTCTGTAACATATCAAAGTATAGCTACTTCTTTCTAGTCATACAATCAATTACTTAGCATGCAACTTTTGTTTTTCTTTGACTGACTCTTAGGAGACTCCTGGAATGTCTGAAAAGTGGTTAGGTTAACTAGGATTCTGAGATCCCAAGTTGAGTATATGGGAACACGGAATGTGTCAGGTATCTTGAGTATTTTATTTTATTACATGACAGGTTCACAAGGATAGTGCCTGTGTTTTTAACAGTAGTAATATCTATTCACAGTTGTGAAATACTAAGAGAACTCCAGCAGTTAAGATTAGCTAGCTTAGAGTTTGGACTTTTAGCTCCTAAAATCTGATAACTCCTCTTTGTTGTTTTACCATATTGGTTAGGCATGATTTCCTAAAAGTAAAAGGCAAGGGAAAACCAAGTGTATTTTATCATCCAATCTCCTGAAATGAATACTGAGAAAGATACATTAATAAGTAAAAATGAGTTTTATCCTTATTTTAAGTGAGTTATAATTTCATAGTCAAGGTTTCAGATTTTATTTTATTTTTTTTGCCCTGAGTCAGGGTCTCCCTCTGTCACCTAGGCTGGAGTGCAGTGGCATGATCAAGGCTTATTGCAGCCTCTCCTCCCAGACTCAAGCGATCCTCCCACCTCAGCCTCCCAAGTAGCTGGGACTACAGGCATACACCACCGCACCCAGCTAATTTTAAAATTTTTTTGTAGAGACAGGTCCTCACTTTGTTGCCCAGGCTGGTCTCGAGCTCCTGGGCTCAAGTGATCTTTCCACCTTGGCCTCCCAAAGTGCTGGGATTATAGGCGTGAGCCACCACCGCCAGCCCAGAGAATTATTTTCATATTTTGACTTCTGATGTTATGACCTTCCTCACCTAAAGGTCAGTTTTTGTGTAAAATTAGTAAATGAAGTAAAGCTTAGACATACTATGGTAAATATATTCATCTTTTGTCATCTGAAAATGGTGTTTTCTTTTAAAGGCACGAGCAAGGTTGGAATTGAGAGAGGAAGCAACCAAAGAAGATGCTGAGGATATAGTGGAAATTATGAAATACAGGTAAGATAAAAATATCAAATAGTTTTAAATGAAATACCAGTTATCTTCCCATCTCAAATTAGGCAATAGGCCAAGGCTGCTTTTATTTAGCCCATTGGGTCACTTATTTTCCTCCTGAACAGAGTATCGTTTCTTAGTTTAAAATATTTCTCACTGTGTAAATAATCTTTAAAATTTTTTTGAATGAGTAATACATTTACATAGTGCTATAATCAGTTCCAAAACCTATTGGAGAAGAGCTAGCTCCTGTGCTATTTACCACCTACTCGCCCTTCACCCAGAAACCCATTGCTTTTCCATAAATAGTCTACTGATTACACTCTTCTGTATCAGTTTTGAATTTTAACAATATATTCAGAGATCTTTTCTTATTAGAGATTCTTTTTTTATAGCTACAGAGTATTCTATAGTGTAGATATATAGTATATTTGATCAGTTCCCTATTGACACATAGATATTTTCCATTCTTGTGCTTTTAAATAATGCTACAGTGAGTAATGTTCTATGTAAGATACTATATACGTGGGTAAGTTGTACACCTACATGATAAATTCTCAGAAGTGATATTTCTGGGTTCAACAGTAAATACTATAGGTTTTTGATAAATATTGGTAAATTGTATCCTTTGCATTTTACATCATTTAGTAGATAATGATTCCTAGAAGGTAGAAAAGAAAAATTAATTGAGCATATATGTTTACCTTAGACATAGACTTTTAAAAATCAGAAATATTATTTTAGGTAGGTTTTTTATTCCAGCTAAAAAAATTTTTAATAGGTCCATACTTTCATAAGCTTCAAAATTCCAAAGTTCAAAAAGTATGGGTCGGACACAGTGGCTCACACCTGTAATCCCAGCACTTTGGGAGGCTGAGGCAGGTGGATCACCTGAGGTCAGGAGTTCGAGAACAGCCTGGGCAACATGGTGAAACCCCGTCTCTACTAAAAATATAAAAAATTAGCCAGGCATGGTGGTGAGCGCCTGTAATCCCAATTACTTGGGAGGCTGAGGCAGGAGAATTGCTTGAACCTGGGAGGCGGAGGTTGCAGTGAGCTGAGATTGTACCACTGTACTCGAGCCTGGGTGACTGAGCAAAAAAAAAAAAGTATATAGTGGAAAAAGTTTCCTCCTACTCTGCTTATTTAATAGCTATCCCGTTCTTCCTGCTAGCCAGTGGCAATTATTAGCAGTTTTTTGTGTGACTATGTATCTATATATTCTTTTTTCCTCTTTGTAGACAAATGGTAACTATAACAACATACCATATACATACTATACCTTGTTCTTTTCATTTAAAATGCATTTTTAATATCCTCTCATAGCAATGAAAATACATATCTGTTAGGAATCTACTTTTCCAAGACCAAAAAATATATTGAAGATGAAATTACTTATCTTACTTTGTTAAGTAATTTCTGATTCTTCTAAGGTAGATGAATTCTTTTGTCCTAGTAGCTGCTGATTCTGGGGCTTGCGTCGTGTCAGAACCAGGTGGTTTTGCCCAGCTATTCCCCTTTGGCTGTGAACAAAAGTGCAGCATAGCTGGAAGAGCAAGGGCTCTGGAGTCCAACCTGGAGCTGCCATGGCAAGTTACACACTGCTTCTCAGTTTCCTCTGCTGTAAAACACACCACAAAGGATTGTGCTCTGAGGTGTCATGCAGTGATGCTCTATAAAGTGATAAATAGGGTTCTGATACATTAGAGGATACTCAGTAAACACTGTTTACTATCAATAGCGCAAGTCTTTTTTTTTTTTTTTTGAGACAGAGTCTGGCTCTGTGGCCCAGGCTGGAGTACATGTTGGCTCACTGCAACCTGCACCTCCTGGGTTCAAGTGATTCTCCTACCTGAGCCTCCCAAGTATCTGGGACTACAGGTGCATGCCACCACACCTGGCGGATTTTTGTATTTTTAGTAGAGATGGGGTTACACCATGTTGACCAGGATGGTCTCCATCTCCTGGCCTTAAGTGATCTGCCTGCCTCGTCCTCCCAAAGTGCTGGGATTACAGGTGTGAGCCACCACGCCTGGCCTGATAGTGCAAGTTTTGTTGATATTCAGATGAGGCTGAGCAGATCCCCTTTTCTCTGAGTTATACCATAAACTGAAGGCCTCAAAAACTGGCAGATCTCATCCTAGATAAGAAGTTTCTAAAATTACCCTTTTCAAAGAATTTTTATGTTCTAGTCCTCAGTGCCCTCCATCTAAATTGTGCAGTATGTCTTAGCTGCAGATCCTTTTCTTCTTGTCTTTTCCTCATAGGGAGACACTTTACCTAGTTGTCTCTTTGACCCCAGCCTGGTACTGGCCCATCCCTGGAGGCTGCTGTCTTCTCTCTGCTGCCTCTGGAAGTATGCATATGGGTAGAAGGGCACCCATGTCACCTCCTGAAGGTGCAATCATCTGTAGCTTGTTTCCTGCCCTTATAGGAAGTCCATGGAAGAAGAGGAACCTTTCTCCTTAATTCAGTCTCAGTTTGTAAGCAGCAGTGAGGTTCTACTGGCTTTCTTTGAAAGCTTTAAAGATTCTAGAATTGACAGCTCTTAATTTTTTATTGGTGGCACCAAAGTAACTGCCTCATAATAAGAAAAATTAATAATTATTGACTCCCGACCCCTTTCAGCTAATTTCTAACAACTCACCTTCTGTGTCTAAGTATCCTGTTGGTATGGCATCACACAGTGCTTTTTTTTTTTTTTTTAAATTTAAGACAGAGTCTCGCTGTGTCATCCAGGCTAGAGAGTACAGTGGCGTGATCTCAGCTTACTGCAACCTCTGCCTCCGGGTTCAATCGATTCTTCTGCCTCAGCCTCCTGAGTAACGGGGATTATAGGCATCTGCCACCATGCCCAGCTAATTTTTTTGTATTTTTAGTAGAGATGGGGTTTTGCCAAGTTGGCCAGGCTAGTCTTGAACTCCTGACCTCAGGTGATCTGCCCACCTTGGCCTCCCAAAATGCTGGGATTACAGGTGGGAGCCACTGCGCCTGGCATCACACAGTGCTTGATCCATCAATTTTCTCTTTATGTGATTCAGTACTAGGGTTTGAGGGATCTTGTAGCTGGAAATTTTGCCAGCCTGGCTTTAGTCCCTCTCCAGTTGATCTCAATATATGTTGGAGACCCTCCAGTTGCCATTTAATAAGCAACCAGATAGTCTAGAAATTTACTAGACTTTCTCATACAACTTGCTGCTAGGGGCATGGCATGCTAGCATATGAAGTAAAAAAATGGCCACAAAATCTAGTTGTCTGCCTGACTTCTTGTGGGTATGGCTTTCTGAGAGACCAGACTGGAGACTCACCTAGCAGAGATATTTTTTCCCATTAGGAAAGTAAGTCACAACCCAACCAAAATTTCAGAATTTTTTTTATTTTAACTTTTTTTCCTATAACAAAAACAAAGACTAAAAATAGGTACTTCTTATTTAATGATGAGAAGGTGATTACAGTCTAGGATGTGTGCATTTTGCTTTCTCTGCTTCCTGCACTTGAACACTCCACCTTTGGGAGTGTGGCTGAGATTCCCACTCCTGATTTCCTTTTCCTTTTAATGACCTCTAGGTCTTCTGGTGCTTGGCTCTCCTGAATATCATGTTTCTACTTTGTAGACTGTTCATCTGTTGAGCAAATTAAGGGGTACACTACCCTGCTCCTTTTCTCTCTTAACCAGAATTAACATTCTCCTTTTGAGGCTTTACCATTGCTCAGTTTCTGCAGGCCTTAGACCACAGACATCACCTCAACTGTCTAGTGTCTCTCCACAATAAATTCACTGATCTGTGGACACGGTAGATTAGTTCTCCTGAGCATCATGCTTAAGCAGAGTAAATTAGGCTATAATTACCTTTTCAATAAAAATGCTATGTTGCCCATTTGTAGTTGGCTTATACTTGGTATAAGATTTCTCTGCGTGTCTGAATACTCATGTTGGACAGTGTTTGCATGTGCTTTCCTGTCCAAGAGGAACTCTTAAGTGTTGTCTCATGGAACTCTGTATTCGTACTGCTTCCCAGAGTTGCTTTGGTGGTAAATTTGAACAAGTTTCAGATCAGTTTACATCTGGGCCCCTGAAAAAAAGAAGTCTTATTATTAAGTGTAAACAGTACTCACATGACATTACCAGATTGTTTCCCTGAATTGTCTTAGTGTGTTTACTGGCATTCATAAAAATTTTCAGGAAAAAGAAAATAGTTTGATTGGAATTACCTGATACTACTTCCATGGTAGAGATCAAGATCCAGTGAAACACAATGAAATTAGATTATGAATTACCTGTTTGTTATGCTTAACATGCATTCTGTCCTTAGTTCATGAGAGCCAGGGACCTTATCTGACTCATTTACCAGTATATTCCCAGGGCCCAGAATCAAGCCTGCCATAAAGTAGGCCCTCAGTAAATGTCCTGCATTGATGGTAAAATTGACCTTAGTAATCATTCATTCATTCATTAAATCTTCCATTTCAGGGTTTTCATCTCTTCAGCTTTGTTCAATTTTTGCCCTTAATGTGGTTTTAAACCTTTTAAGATTACATTTTAACTGGGAAGCCGACAGTTGAATAAGAAAGTTCTTAAACTGTGACATAGCTTGTCTGAGTTACCAGAGCACTTAGCTTTATTTTAAAAACTAAATGCTTATATTTAGTAAACAGTTGACATAAGCTTTCTCCTAAAATTGAAAATACACGAGGTAGCAGAAGAGAACAGAGCCACCTTCAAAGGTGAGAGATCACTGTGAGTTTTTTTCTGTTTCAGGAAACTAGCTCAAATATTTTACATAGCTTTTTAAAATCTGAAGCAGTGTAGCAGATTCAAATCTGAGATATGCCACTTACTAATAAAGTGACTTCTGGCGAGTCACTTTAATCTTAGTGTAGATTGGTGCAAAAGTAGTTGCAGTTTTTGCCATAAGAAAAAAAAATTTCAAAAACCACTATTACGCTTGCACCAACCTAATAAGAATGTTTTTTCATCCATAAAATGGGAATAAAAATAGTTCCTAAATCACAGGATTGCTGGGAGGATTAAGTGGGATAGCCTATGGTAAATACATATAATGAAGATAAATGTTACTTATTATTAACTGAAAACATTTTTAACAACTTTCTTATGAGAAACAAGCATATGGGAGGTTCATCATAAAAGAGATTATGCTGTATTTCAGAGGAAAACACCATCTTGCTGTTTTATCATTTTTAATAGTCTTATTTGAATGACTCATTCCTATGTAGGCTTTTATGTATAATGTAGGCTTTTAACTACTCAAAGAACAAAAGGAAGCTTTATTGTTTATAACCCATTAAAATCATTCCTGCATGCTCCTTAAGGGGAGGGATTATACCTGTTTTGTTCACCACTATAAGCCTATTGCCCAGCAGGTGACCAGTATGTATTTGACTAATTAATTAATTCCTGGTTAAATAACAGTTTTGCCAGTTATTCTGGCTGTGAAATACAGCTATCCCATTGTTCAAGCAGGGAATCAGCAATAGAGTTGGATTAAACAGGATGGTTAATTGTGTTTCTAACTGGTGTTTTCAGACTTCTAGCTAAAATTCACTATCAAGTACGTATTTCTTTCCTTGGTGATATTGGGAAAATAAGAGGAAGCAGAAGAAATCTGGCAGTAACAGGTGCATCCTTTAATATCTAACCATTATCACTGCAACTCACCATAACCTTTCTAGTTCATTCTTATAGTATTTTAAATACCTTTTATTTAAAATACTGGTGCCGCCAGATGCTGCTCCAGGAGATAGGACGCATTTTTATTCAGTAAAGTCTAAATTTATTATATTTAGAATTTCTTTTCTTCATGAATCAAAAAGAATGTCCCAGGTATTTATATTGTAGTTTATCAATTTTGTGTTTTGATGCATTTCTCTCTTCAAATTTAGAAGTTTCTTAAAAGCAGTAATTGTGTCCAAAATATTTTTATTCCTTATCAATCCTTATCATAGTGAATTTCAAAGTGGCCACTCAATAAACACATGTTGAAATGTTTACTAAGTGAGCCTAGTGGCTACTTCCAAATTTTTCTTCTGTAACCTCAAAGCCCAGGACAACAATTTCTATGGCAGTGCCACATTGGGTAATTTTTTTCTTCCTTTCTTTTTAAGCATGCTAGGAACTTACTCTGATGAATTTGGGAACCTAGATTTTGAGCGATCCCAGCATGGTTCTGGAATGAGCAACAGGTCAACAGCAAAAAGATTTATTTCTGCTCTCAACAACATTGCTGAAAGAACTTATAATAATATATTTCAATTTCATCAACTTCGGCAGATTGCCAAAGAACTAAACATTCAGGTATGTTAAACTAGTTAATCTCTTTTGTAATAATTTCAGGAGGTCCTTATTAATATATAGTAGAACAGAAACAGTTTTTACTTATTTAAAATTCATACCTGCTTCTTCTCAAAGGCTTTTCAGCATCTTGATAGAGGGAAACATTGTAGTAAGACACAGTCTGTATGTCTTTTTGAAAGTTTCTTGTGGATAAGTCATTTTAGTATCTTTTAACCTCAGTTCCCTCATCTGTTAAATGGACATGATTATACCTGCTATTCCTACTTCAAAGTTCTTGTGAAAATCAACATAATAGCACTTCAAACGTGCTATTACACATTATGGAAAATTAACTTCTTAATTTCAAAAGTTAGTTTGATTTTTGTTTTTCAGCTAACCTGAAACAAATGTAAAATATTCTCTGCCTATTAGAATTTTTATTTTTTATTCATCTAGGCTTTATAGAATCCAGAGCTCAAATATAGGCAGTTTGCTCTGTAAGAAGTAAACACAATTTTATTTGGCAACAAAACTTTACAGTTACATATTATTGTTTGAGAGATTTATTTTAAAAGTAATATTTTGACATGTTACTTAATGGGCTAAACCTTTTGATGTTTTCTTCCAGGTTGCTGATTTTGAAAACTTTATTGGATCACTAAATGACCAGGGTTACCTCTTGAAAAAAGGCCCAAAAGTTTACCAGCTTCAAACTATGTAAAAGGACTTCACCAAGTTAGGGCCTTCTGGGTTTATTAGCATATTAAAGCCATCTCAGTGAAAATATGTGTGCGCACAGAGACACACACATACACACACACACACACACACACTCAAATACTGTTCTCTGAAAAATGATGTCCCAAAAGTATTATAAGAAAAAAGCGTTAAATATAATAAACTAATTTAAGAAGTGATAAAGTCTCCAGATGCAGTAGCTCACACTGTAATCACGGCGATTCAGGAGGCTGAGGTGAGAGGATTACTCGAGACCAGGGTTTGAGACCAACCTTGGGCAACATAGCAAGACCCCATTTCTTTTTTAAAAAAAAAAAAAAATTAAACTTAGCTGGGTGTGGTGGCACATCCCTGTGGTCTCAGCTACTTGTGAGGCTGAGGCAGGAGGATTTGAGCCGAGGGGTTTGAGCTTACAGTGAGCCACGAACACACCATTCACTGCACTCCAGCCTGGGCAATAGAGTAACTCTTGACTCAAAAAAATAAAAAAAAATTGTAGTGGTAACCATGTGTTAATTGTTAAATAAATTCTCCAAAAGACTAAAATTACTTATAAATTTTTTATAGTTATATTTTTGACCTGACTTTTATATGTGTATTTCATAGTTTTGCATATCAAATGTAGGCATTCAGACAAATATATAAACCAATGAACATTTACATATTCTGCGTTCCAATAAATATTTATGGACACTAAAATTTGAATTTCATAGTTTTCCCATGTCAAAATACAAAATCCCCAATTTTTGATTTTAGCCATTTAGTAATAGGCCTCATTTATTCTACAGGCTGTAGTTTATAATAGAGTCTTGCTTGCAAACAATAGAAACAGACTGATTAAGCAGGAGAAGTTTTTTGAAAGAATTTTGGTTAGCTCACGGAATTATTAGAAGGCAGGTGAACCAGGAGGGTAAGCTTACAGCAGCAATTTGTAAAACCATGCCTTAGAATTAGACCAAGGAAGAAGCTGCTGACACTGCTGCCACACAGGGCACTGGAAGAAAGTGCTACTGCCACCATGCCCTACCTTTGCCACTTCTGCAGCAAGAATAGGTAGAAGAATGCCCCCACCCACACCAGAACAGCAACAAAAGGATTCTCCATGAGGCGCCTCCCTAAATTGCTGAATTCAAAAAGGAAGTCTCATCCAAAGACATCTGATTGCAAAAGGTTATGTTATATGCCCCTTTCATAGGCTGCTAGGGAGTTTTCCTGGTTCTGCTTTTGGGTGGTGGGATCAGTAAGACCAGAATTTCTCATATGTTGTTAGAGGATTCAGATGTTACAGGGTTGCCAGCCAAACTATCAATCATTTATAAATCCAACCAACACTTTGTAACATACAAGAACTCAGGAAATAACCATTGTTGGAGAATCTACTGAAATACAGCTTCCAGCAAACCAGAAGATGAATGGAAAATGTAAATAAAAAGAACTGACAGTATATATCAGATGTTTAACTGTAGGACCAAAACTAAGATGTGGAGACTCTTGTTACAGACCACAATGTAATTTTTTTTTTTAAGTGAGGAAGAAGAAATCAGGAATAAAAAGAGGGGCTAGGCGCAGTGGCTCACATCTATAATCCCACAGCTTTGGGAGGTTGAGGCAGGAGGATCACTTGAAGCCAGTTTTGAGAACAGCCTGTGCAACACATTGAGACCCTATCTCTACAAAAAAATAGATTAGCTGGGCATGGTGGTGCATGCCTATTATCCTAGCTACTGTGCAGGCTGAAGTAGGAGAATCACTTGAGCCCAAGAGTTTGAGGTTACAGTGAGCTATGATTATACCACTGTACTCCAGCCTGGGCAAGAGAGCAAGACCTTGTCTCTTACAGGAAAAAAAAAAAAAAAAGGAGAAAGTAGATAGTAGCATAAATATAGTGAAGTCTTTAAAAGCTAGGGGTTAAAAGATATTTAAAGCAAATAACTCAGGCATGGTGGCACGCCGCGCCTGTAGTCCGAGGCTAGTGGAGGCAGGAGATCGCTTGAACCCGGGAGGCAGAGGTTGCAGTGAGCCAAGATCACACCACTGTACTCCAGCCTGGGCACAGAGTAAGACTCTTTCTCCAAACTAAAATAAGAGATATTTAAAGGTAAAAAATCTATTAATAGAATTTAAACATTTCATGAAAGTCAACACATAATAATGTCAACCAAAATAAGTGGTAGACAGAGAGGAAATGTACTAATTTTTGTTCAAAGAGGAAAATAAGTCTAAAGGTTTAAGGATATTATATACATTTATTTTTTAAAGACATAAACGTACATTTTCAGAAGAAATTGTTCCATGTTTCCTTAGATCTGTATTTACGGCATCCCATTAATACAGGGCCAAACTAACAAATGCTGTTTAGCTTTCTCCCTTACTATCAGCTTTCTGTGGGTACTGACAAACATACACATTACAGTCCCTCCAAACCACGAACCCCAATATATACGTATTTCACATCCTGCCGATAGGGTGTCCCACACCTTTCAACCACTGTAGCAACAAGCTCTGCCTACAGCTTTTCACTTGCTTCCCTGTACTGCCTGACCTGACTGTGGTGTTTCCTAATGTGGCCTGGCTGTGGTGTGGCATGCCCTCTTGGGAGAGAAGATATTTTCTATAGGCAGTTGGTTTCTGTGTCACCATTGCTGCTATATCAAACAAATCACAACACACCACAACAACAGAACAGAACACTGCAAACCGAAAAACATGCCTCCCCGCTCTCCTCTCTCTTCCTCTCCACACACCTAACCATTTTTTTCTCGACCAGAGCCCCAACTCCCTACACCCCTCTCACAAACGCCGGCGCGATCTCAGGCTCACCAGCACACCTCTCGCCACGACGCCCCACAGTAGATACATACAATTTCACTGCCAAATACCAAGCCATATAACAACCAGTAAGCTGGATTACACCGGCATCGTGCTACCAGGCCCTGGTAATTTTGGCCACCTAAACATCCCACACGACACGCCGCGCCAGCACGCTGGTCTTGAACATCCTGCTCAGGTGATCTGCCTGCCTCGGCCTCCCAAAGTGCCTCTTCACAACAGCCATGAGCCACGTGCACGGGCCGAAAGTTTCATTGTTTCTTAAGAGACGGGTGGTCTCTGCCATGGTTGTCACAGATGTACTTGAACCCTCAACCCAAGCAGCCCTCCCACTCAGCGCCTCTTGAACATCGCTGAGACTACAGGCATGCACCACTAACGCCCTAGCCATCGCCCACACGCACCACCACCGACAGATGAACCCTCATACTAGCCTCCGCCTGGAGTGCAGCTGACTCTCTCGCGATCCCCCTCGCACCAGCATCTCCACGCCCTCAGCTCCTGAGGCCGAACTACCCATACAACACAAAAAAACAAACGCACTACATATAATCTGTTTTTTGGAGGATGAGGTCTTCGCTTTGTTGCCCAAGCTGATCTCAAACTCCAGGGTCTTCCTGGAGTAGCTGACGACACAGGTACTGAGCCACACGCCCAGCCTCCTGCTCTCTTATTCCAATATTGTGTTAACGTAACATTGTACTCGGTGGTAGATCAACTTGAATCCCATTTCATTTTTAGGATAGAGATATCAACTGGTGAGAGTATAACTGAACCAGGGAGGAAGTACAACACCACCCCCTGCTGACTGATGGATCCTTTATAGCTTCTCCTCTTTGAATAAAGGAAGGGAAATATTGTACACTTCCATCTACCATGTTATAGTTAGCTGTATTGTATATCAGAAGAATATTACATAATATTCGTCTAGCTTTAATGAATGCTTGAATGTGCGATGAAACAGTGTGTATGGATACTGACCTAGCTAAAGAGGTAGATAAATGTAGATACAATGATACGGTGATTTGGTATTCACGGGTTCATTCTGCTCTCCAGTTGGTGCTTCCTATAATGCAGGGGCTGAAGGTGAGAAAATAACCACATTTCCCAGACTCCCTTGGCAGGGTAGATTTCCAGATGTGAATTGGGTTTCCCTGATATATATAGTGTATATATACACTTTATAGTTTATACAGATATATATACACAGATATAGTATATATCTATATATACTTTATAGTATGTATACTCTATATAGATATAACTATCATACTCTCTGATAATATACTCTATGTTCAGTATAGAGAGTATATATTATATAGTACACTACACTAACACCTATTATGATACGCTTTCCACTAGTTAGTCTATACCACCTATGTACAGTACACTAATAACCATGTTTTGCG